CCAGCACCTTCTCCGTACACTGCACACATCTTTATTTGTGTTTCAGTTGAGTTTTTACCTTTCTTGAAACAATAAAGCATAATATACTGAAAATGTGTATTTTCTTCCATCTTCAATGTTAAAATGGCTGCACAAAAATTCACCAATTTTGATGTTTTTTGAAAAACACATGCTGATACAACTGTCATAATACAATAATACAATCTACAAAACTGTCCCGACTGAAATTAAAGACAACTAAGCACTACTGGAGCCATCGTGCGGAAAAAACTAAGCGAACTTTTTGGCCAACCCAACAGTCCTCTGGGCGGGCTGGAAGGGAACGGGAGCGACTGACTGCTTGCTAATAATGGGCACGGGTTTCTTCTTGGGGCGGTGAGCGTTCCAGAACTGACTGTGGTGAGGTCAGGATGTGAATATATGTTTTAAATGAGTGAATTGTATATAATGTGAATTTTATCTCAATAAAAATGTTTTTTTTGGTGTGTGTATTTTATATACATACATGTATACAACTAGAAATTCTAAATAAATGTCATCTCCAAAGAGACCCATGGAACCCAGTACCAGAACCTCGTGAAGGACTCCATACCCTTGTTCCTGTGTGTCTCCCGTTGGGCAGAGTCCCCCCTTCTCTCCCACTCCTGCGCAGTGTTCCCTCTTCTCTAAAGGTCCACTCTGAGCCTCACCCTCTCCACAGTCTCCCACTGATCTCTCCAATTCTTCACAAATTCTTCTGAAATGCAGAATCTGCATCTTACACTTTGCTACTTAACACAGTGTATAGAATTCTATCAATCCTGTGACTTCCCTGAAAGCAGGGCTACATCTTCTATGTTTAGCAAGGCATTACACACACAGTAGACACATTATTTTATCCGTCCATCCACCCATCCATTCAAAACTGCTCACTGTAAATGAACAATATGATCGACCTGCTGGTTATCAGGGACTTGGGCTGGATCTTGCTCCTCACCCTTCAACTTCCCCTTCCTTCTTCACCCAGCAGCCTCATGCCCGACTGCCTGAAGCTCCCTGCAGCTGGGATCTCGACCACAGGCAGCCACACAACGGCACGCACTCTCCCAGGCACAGATGCGCCGAGGCTTCATTTCTATCCCGCCCTGTATATCCCATGTGTGATTAGTATTACCATTGCCACCGAAGCACTCTGAATCAACGTCCTCACAGAACACTCTACCAGAACCTCTGAGCTACCTTCCGGAGCAGCAGCATGACAACGATAAACCTGTCTTGCCGTGCCCCGTGCTCCGCCTGGCTACTTGGAAATCTTCCACTTGGGGCCCACTCGTGGGACCCGGTAAGTATGTTTTTGATAATGAATTGCTACCTGGCAAACTACAGATGTCACAGGAGACATGGTTTCTCAGGTTATCTGCATTGTCAAATAAGGCCAGTCTGCACCCCCATCCCAGGGAACCCCAAACTCTGCAGCTTACACTCCCCCCTTCAGAGTGACTGTTTATTTGTATCCTGTGTTTTCTGTCTTTAAGTCAGTATGGGCCCAAGTATCATTCTGGAAAAATCATTTTCAGATGATTTTGAAACTCTTCGAGTCAGTCTGACCACTGAGGACATGGCTGACAGACAACTCAGAAAAAAACCCTGGGGACCAGAAATGATGCTGCCCCTCCCGTCCTCCAAGGGCCTTCTGAAGGAGATGGGGACTGCACCCTTTTTCAGAGTCTACTAAAGATGGATGAATTCCTAGTCCGCATGTGTTGGGGTTTCCAGGTTTGTTGAAGTCATACAGGCATCTGACTGGTCCTGTGACACAGTGCCCTTTGGAACGGCAGGTTATGAATACTTGTCAACAGTTTCATAATTTTACATACAAGCTTTCACAACTCTGGGGTGGATTCCTTCCTAGTCCAATGAAATAGCTGGTTGGTTCATTTAGGTCTAAAACACACCTCATGTCATCGATACGGACTGGCTGAAACAATTTAAGGAGAACATTGCTAACATTGGCAGGAAAGAACAATCCATATAATTTATTCAGACTCCAATTTTTTCTTTAGATTCCCTTTCTTTGTTTCTTTTTTTTGTTGTTGAATTTTTCAGGTGACATTGGTTCATAATGCCCCTTTTCTTGCCAGCCTCCCCTCCTTAGTCTCTATTACTCAATCCCTGTTCTCCAGGCCTTTCTCAAGTTTTCCTTTGGATTCCAAGTCATCAAAGCGCTAATGCAACCTCTGTTCAGCTCCCACACTCACCCGATCACGTCCGCCCTTAGCGAGGGACACGTTGGCAACAGGGAAGGAGCAGAGTAAGGAGGCGGAGGGGTCACAGTCAGTCCTAAGTGAGAATGAGGATGACACTGCTGAGTTATGGAGTCTGCCTTACCTGTCCCTGCCCCACCTTGGCCCCCTAGCATTCCTTCCCCTCCCCCATCCCTCTTCCTGGAACAGGTATCCTTCTCTGTTAGAGAGGGAGCAGAAATGCGGCCAGCAGATTCAACTGATTCTTTCATTCTCTCCCGGCTACTTCAGCTTATCTCCTCTCATAGAGCAGACATTCTTAATGGGAATCTACAGACACTTAGTTGAAAAGTTTCAGACTTAAGCAGTTCTCACTTGGGGAACTTGATAAAAATGCAGATTCCTGGGTCCCACCTCCAGATTCTGATTCAGTAGGTCTGGTCTGGGGCCTAGTTGGAAACGACTCCTCCACAGGGATCCACAGATGGTCTCTAAGAGGCTCGGGAACCCCCTCAAGTTGTAGGCAAACTCGTAGCACGATATGCATGGGCATGGAGCTACACTTTTATGGCAGGAAGAGCTGCAGCTTCCATGAGATCCATACCTCCTAAAAGTTTAAGCAGCTCTGCTTTAGAAATTACAGCTCATGAGCAGGGACTCGAAACAGGGAAAAAATATTCTGGACCATTTATAATGCCCTTATTAGCATCTCTTGATTGGTCCTATAGCCTAATTGTTAAGAAACGAGGAAAGGATTTGGCAGGGTCTGTAAAATGGGGAGGCACAGGACTCGGGGAGTTTACACAGCCAGTGCCTTGTGCTTCCATAATCTCTACTGTGCAGCAGACTATCGGGAATGGGAGCAATGTCAAAGGCAAGCTGCTGCTTTCCTAGCACCTCCTCCAGTAAAAACCAGGTTGGTTCTGAGATGACCCAAAGGGTTGGCTGGGTTCGTTGGTCTGCTGTGGCCCTGAGAGAGGTCTGATCCAACCTCAGTAGAATTGACACTTACAATGTCTAGAAGGGGAATTAAAAAAAAAAATTCTTTTAGCCCTGTCTAGAAGGGGAATTTTTAAAAAATATTCTTTTAGCCCTGGTGTGGCTTAGTGGACTGAGTGACAGCCTGCGAACCAAAGGGTCACGGGTTCAATTCCTAGTCAGGGCACATGCCTGGGTTGTAGGCCAGGTCCCCAGTAGGGGGCATGTGAGAGGCAACCACACATTGATGTTTCTCTCCCTCTTTCTCCCTTCCTTCCCCTCTCTCTAAAAATAAATAAATAAAGTCTTTTAAAAAAGGAACTCTGCAATTAAAAATTTTTTAAATTCTTTTAACCAGAAGTAGAACTAGGATCCTAGACCCCCATCACCTGAAACCTGTTTTTTTTTTTTAATTTAATTGTTGAAGTACACTTTTCTGCCTTTTATTCCCATCCCAGCCCAGCCCCCCAAACCTGCTTTTTAACCTGGCGTTGTGAAAGGTAAGAAGTTACACAAGCACACTGGGCCCAAGTTTCCTCCTCTGTAAATGAGGGGGTTGAACTGAGTAAGTCCTAAGGGGCCTTGCAGCAATTCTCCCACAGATTCCTCTACTACGATGGAGGACCTTTCTCACCTGTAGTAGAAATGCACAGGGCTAAGGTGGCTGACTGTTGGCATGTAGGAATAGTAGAAGGAGCCATAGAGGAAAACAGATACCCAGAGCAGGAGGAGGATGGTACAGAAGAGCACCCCAAACTGCAGCAGCAGCTTGCGGGCACGGCCTGCCAAGATCTGGCCCACTTCCTGGGCCCACAGCAAGGCAGGTACTGGTGGGTCATTTACCACCGCAGTGGGTGCGGCAGGTCTGGCCCCAGGTTCAGGCTTTGAGTTCCTAGCTGTTTTGCCACCTGGACGCCATCCCTGGCCATGAGATGAAGCAGCCGGTGGTTCCTGGAAAAAAGACAGAGAGGAGGGAAGAACAGCTTCTTTCTAGGGGTTGGTGGGGACAAAAGGGAAGGCTACTAGGCTGACTTTGAGGATCCAGAGACAGCAGGGTCTTTGTTTATATGGCCTTTCTCCATATGACTGTGTTTCTCAGCCAATTATCCCTTCCCTTTCCTCCACTGTGCTCTGTTCACCCCCAGTGACAGAACTCCTCAGTTGAACTGGTCCTCTTGCGACCTTATTCTGGGGCAGGCCACCTTGCTACTCAATCACAGCAACACAAAACATACAGAGAACAAGCGCCTTAAAATTCTTAAGGAGCTTTTACACACACGATGACACTGAATCCACACTGTGAAGTACTGCACTGAGAGAAAGCGTGACGTGACTTGTGCCTAAAGTTGCACAGCCAGACTCAAAGCAAGCAGCGGAAGCGCAGTCACAGCTGCCTCCCAAGTTTCTCCTCTCCTTCTGGAGCTATACTCGCTCCCGGACCGGCCCGCGCCCCACCACGGGCAGAACGTTCTGCAGACTATGGCTGCTCCCCACCAACCCCCTACGGCTCACGCGTGGACGCGGCACCTGGAGGCCCCTGCTTAATTATCCTGCTGTTGAAAAAAACAATTCGTCAACCGCCAGGGCTCCACAGACTCACCAGCATCGCGCGCTGCCTGGGGCAACCGCGAGAGGGACTTCCGTCTCCCGGGCACGCCCCACCCCCTTCTGCAGACAGCCAATGTAGCCCGGGGGCGGGGCCTAGTGCAGGGGAGGGGTCCGACAGTGGGCGGGGCTAGGTCCAGGGCCCGGCTGTTCTGATTGCGGAGCTCCCACCTCCGCGCGCTCCTCACTCTTCTACCCCGCGGTCCGTGCCCGTCCATCCTCCGGTTACCACGACCAAAGGAGACAGGCACCTCCCTCCAAGACCCAAGACATTCCCAGGTCATGCTATGAGTCAGCAGCATCCACCTCGGCCTGCCTCTCGAGGCCGCAATCACGGTCGCCCACCCCTACACCACCGGCCATTTAACCCCCAAAAACGGGGAGAGAGGAGGGCACCCAGCTGGCGCTGACTTTTTCGCCCACAGCTCTTTGGGCCGGTAGGCATCCAAGACAGACAGCATTCGCCCAGAGAACACTGCAGTCTGCAGGAACCTGTGCATCCTGCGCGTTGCGGTGACGCTCTGGCTGTCCCATATTCACAAGCATTTCAGCCTGGTGTTTTTCCTCTAGCTTTTACGATGCGTGATCGACTTCCTCCGACCCTAACTAGACGCTCCTTCAGAGTCCGCACAGCGCATTATCTAGACGAGGTCCTGGAACGCTGTACCTCTGTTTTTGTATGTCTGTATTCACCCCAAATATGAGCTCTCAGAGTGCCCTGGCCGGGTGGCTCAGCTGGATGGAGCATCTTCCCATACACTAAAAAGGTTGCAGGTTCCATTCCCGGTGGGGACTCATAGGAGGCAACTGACTGATGTTTTACATCCATGGTTTTCTCCTCTCCTCTTCTCTCCTCTCTCTTCTAATCTCACAATAATGCTTCTCTCCACCCCCCTTATTCTCTCTAAAATCAATATTTTAAATAAATATTTAAAATTATTTAAAGAGCTCTCAGAGGGTATGGTCAGTGTGGTGGGCATCTTTACATCCCCGAAGCAACAAGCACAACGATGCTCTTAGACCAATACCCCCCCACCCCCAGCCCAAAAGCCCATCTATTTTCAGAAACATCCACAGACTCTCCCCACAATGCACCCTACCTCTTCTTTGTCCGATTCTTTGATCTGGTCTCTGAGCACCTCTTTCCCCCCAGATTCTTCTCTTTGGTCTGGCATTTCTTTAAACATTTTCCTGACGTACCTCGCTGCCCCTGGATCTTGCGCTTGAATCACTTGTAGCTAGAACATGAAGTGGCGATCCAGAAGCTGATACCTGTAGCTCATCACATTTTCCTAGATATGGGGAACAGAGGGTCCCTGGGAGAGAAACGAAGATTCATGTGATAAATGCTGTGTCAGAGCAGAGGGAGGAGAGGGATGATGGGGGCGACTGCCCAGTTGATGTCAGATTTTCAAATGAGCAGGGTACCCCACAGCCAGTACAGACTCCACTGCAGGGGCTGTTACAGGTCCAGACCACCCCATTTAAGGGGGAAGTCTGCCTGTGCTTCAGCTCCTCTGGGGAGGGCTCTAGGAGACTCAGAACGAATACAATGGGGGAGGGGCAGGTATTGAGACAGTAACAGTGGGAGTGTGCACAGGGGCTGCAGGCAGCAGCCAGGCTCCCCCACTGGCCAGGCAGTTGGTATGCTCCAGGATCTGAACAGCTCCTTCCAGCATCCTTCATCTGCAGGTACCAGCTGTCTGGGCAGTGCTTGAGCTGCAGAAACTAGGACCAGCCCTCGGCAGACCACTGACCTGACCCACCCAGTGGTCTCTTTATTAGCAGCTTCTGCTGCTGCATCGGACACTTTCAGCTGCAACTCCCTGCAAGGTGGGGCACCCATCTCAGGCAGAAGATTTTGGTGTATCCTACTGACTCTACTCCCCAGGGCTTCGGCTGCCTGTGGCCTCAGGTGAGTCAGGAACATCTTGCTTTTCCCCGTTGGGGCTCAAGGGGGCAGGTGGGGATTATGTACCCTCCCCATCAGGGCGGGGCTCCTTCTGGTTGTGGCTTTGAGAACTGGAACACATGGCTTGATGGCTGAAAAGCCTTAAATCATTTGTATGTTTAATGATCTGTGGCCTAGGCTCATTTACTCACTGAGGAAGAGAAGACCGGGATGGGAAAGTCCACTGGAGGATGAGAATAAGAAAACAAAATATTGGGGCACATGGCCCCAGCCTTATAAAGGCTGGATGAGAGCGCATGGAGGGGACCTGCAGTTGAGATTGGTCTAAGCTGCCCCTCTCTTTTCTCCAGAATGAAAGGGGAGACGCCTGTGAACAGCACTATGAGTATTGGGCAAGCCCGCAAGATGGTGGAACAGCTTAAGATTGAGGCCAGTTTATGCAGGATAAAGGTGGGTGGGACCCTGAGTCCCCTTAGTTGGCCTGGCTGTGCTGTATATTCCCAAACCTCAAGGTAAAAGATGCTCCCCCCCTCCCTTGACTCCCTGAGATCAGGGAAGAAGTCCCAGACTCTATAAGAAGAGGTGTCCCCAGGCTTCTGTGGGGGATGAGGGATGGGAAGACTGTCTTAAGGGAAGGGAAACTGCAGTCCCTTTCAGGGGTTCTGGTTGGCTAATAATTCCCTCCTGGCTGTGCCCCAGGTGTCCAAGGCAGCAGCAGACCTGATGACTTACTGTGATGCCCATGCCTGCGAGGATCCCCTCATCACCCCTGTGCCCACTTCGGAGAACCCCTTCCGGGAGAAGAAGTTCTTCTGTGCCCTCCTCTGAGCTACCAGGTCCCTCTCACAACTCACCTTATCCTCTCGTGAGCCCTTCCTTAGGTCAGTAACTGTCATCAGCCCTTGAGGGTCCCTTGCATACTCTTTCTGGCCCTTGCCCAAACCTGTGAGGTTATCTGAAGCACAAGGCCCTCCCCTCACCTATCTGTCGACTCCATTTCCACGCCCAATGGGGCACCCTTTGCTCCTCCCACAATAGGGCCACCAGACTCTTGCCAGCTTCCTGCCCACTTCCCTTCTGTGACCCTCTCACACAATGGAGAGAGGGATGGGCTGGGTGCTTGCTCCCAGTCTCACCTGGAGCTACTGGAAGGGTAAAGCCATTTGAAGAATAAAATCATCCATAGTCTCAGAGGTACAGCTCCTGTGTTACAGTTCTTGGGGGAGAGGATCATCAGTCATTAGATGTGGGTGTGGGTGCGGCAGTTGAAGGGCTGCCATGGAGGAATAGGGCCAGTCAAAGCAGGTTCGACAGTGTCTAGGATCGGAGATTGGTACGGTTGGGGGGCTAGCGGACGCGAGAGAACATCTCAAGTAGAAGGATTAAGTTACACCAGATACTCAGAGGCTACAGAGAAAAACACACACACACACACGAGGATAATGAACAATGAAGGCAAGTGAAACTAAAAACAGACCGAACAGGGTGAACTTAAAGAGGTATTCGGAAGGGCGGCCGCAGACAAGAGGAAGCCAGCACGAAGGGGAGGAGCTCGGTTCCAGTTCCTGCAAAGGGGCCGGTCTTACTTCTAAGATGGCCGCGCCCACAGCGGGACCCTTTCCAAGATGGCCGCCGCCACGGGACCGGCGCCAATATGACAGCCCTACGTCACTGCGTTTCACCGTTCAGGGCTTCTCCGCCAACCCCAAACTTAAAATGGCGGCCCAAGCAGCTAGAGTTCTGAATATGGTCCCTTCCGAGCTCGTCTGATCTGTCTCAAAATGGCTTCCCCTGCCCTCGCCAACTCCATACCCATTCCTACGCCTCCTTCCAGAGTCTGAAAGACCATATCCCCACGATCCAGGTGAAGGTACACGGGAGGTTTACAGCCTAGGTCATGGGAGGGGGGCACCTCAGCAACCACTGCGCAGCAGGCTCTGGTCGTGCGGATCTTGTGAGGAGGCAGCCTAGGTTTCTAGATGGCAGACTAGAAGCTCCCAATGGAGCGTCAACATAAGTGTACCGTCAATATTGGCGCCGTTCATTTCGGGGTGCCTTCCCTCGTTACCTTCTGGTGTCCCTAGGACTTGGATAAGCCCGAGAACTTTTCCCGGTAACTGGTGCTCGCTCTGTTCCCACCAGCCCATCAGGCCCATTGCCCAGAAGCAATTTCCCAGTGTGCTTAGGACCCCTTGTAGTGATGCAACATGCTGCCTGGCCAGAAGCCAGACCTAAGACAATGTCTCACAGGCACCTCGGGACTCAAATCTGGCAGGCTTATAAGCCTCAGAATGCCTTTCCAGAAACCTTTTTCTTCCAAGGGTGAACACACTGTGGTGCGACCTGGGTCAAGACAGGTTTACAATCCCTGTGTGAAGGGCGAGGGAGAGAGGGAGAGATGTCTGCTCCTATGGATTGTCAAGACGCCCCCAAATTCAGGGACACATCCTTCCATTGGGAAGCCAGGGCTAGCTGATGTTTTGTGCCTGGATACTTTTGGCGGGGATGGGAAGGGGCAAGGGGATCCCTTTAGTAAGAAGAGGGTGACCTATATTATAGATAGCCCATCATCTCCAGATTCCCCACACCTTCCCACAGGAAGACAAGAGAGGAAACTGGGAAAGTAATCTGGTTGCCTTCCTGAAGTGGGAGCCTAACCCGTCTGTTCAGGAGCTGCCTTAGTTCCCTCTTGGTGCTTCGTGAAAATCCGACAGCATCTAGCACACAGGTAGCCCTCCAAAGTCTTAACAAATGGAGTGTGCTGTACTTGCAGGGAAGGACTGACGCAGAGAACCTTTCTGTTCTTACTAGATGACAATGTTTGTCCTAAGCGAAAATTCCCACATCAGCTCAGACTTGGTAAAAAGCCAGAGTGCTTAATAAATGTAATCTTAAGATATATATTTAATTAAAGCCTCCACTCATTTGTTTTGAAGAATTTTATTTGAGGGGAAGGGAGAGAGGGAGAAAAACATCAGTGCAACAGATATCGATTGGATGCCTCTCATGTGCCCCCTACTGGGGAGCTGACCCGCAACCCAGGCACGTGCCCTGACTGGGAATTGAACCAATGACCTTTTGGTTTGTAGACCAGCACTTGGTCCACTAAGCCACAAGAGCCGGGGCTCAGTGTTTTGTTTTTGAGAAATCAGATGATAGTCTTACAGGAACTCTTTTGTAGGTAATTGTCTCTCTCTTTTTAAAAAAAGATTTTCCAGTCAGGGCACATGCCAGGGTTGCAGGCAGGTTCCCTGCAGGCCAGTTCCCAGCAGGGGATGCACGAAAGGCAACCATACATTGATGTTTCTCTCCCTCTCTCCTTCCCTTCCCCTCTAAAGATAAATAAATAAAATCTTAAAAAAAAATACATTATCTTTAAAAAAAATAAAAATAAAAAAGTTTTTATTTATTTATTTTTAAAGATTTTATTTATCTGTAGAGGGGAAAGGAAGGAGAGAGAGAGAGAAACATCAATGTATGGTTGCCTTCGTGCATCCCCTGCTGGGAACTGGCCTGCAGGGAACCGGCCTGCAACCCTGTATGTGCCTGACTGGGAATCGAACCGCGATGGTCTGGTTCGCAGGCCTGCGCTCAATCCACTGAGCTACACCAGCCAGGGCAATTTTTCTGCACACTCAAATTTCATACTGCTGCAACCCTAGCTGGGGAAAAGGGGGGCTGAAGAAACAAGGCATGAGCTAATAAATATTAAAAATGATTAATTAGCTGTGACACTGAATAACTTAAAAATATCCTAGAGAGTGGGCAGACACCGCAATCAAGGGTACCCTTTGGGGTACAGCCCCTGGGGTCTGAATCTGTGTCATGCAGAGAGACAGACAGTAGAGCAGCACCTCGACCCGAATCACTGCTCCTTTAGTGATCTTTGGATCACGGCTCCTTTAGAATACTGCACTGCCACGAGCCTGTGGCACCCCGGCCTCGGTAAGTACTCGACCATTTATTAGAAATTACAATTAGAATCAGTTAGTGCTAGCAATGCAACAGTGCTTTTAATAATTAGTTACCTTCCCATTCTCCAAATTCTAGGAAATTACCCTCCATCAAACATCTTCTGTTGAATGAGCAGGCTTTTCCTCTAAGTGGTAACTGCTCATGAATACACTCGTTTAGCTCCTAAATAGAACCTTACACTTAACTTCAAGCATCCAACTAGTGTCAGTACAGGTCAAAGACACAGAGGTCATGACACAGTGTGTTTCCTTCTATTCCAACGGCTCACGCTTTTAGCATAAGCAAGCACCAAGCAGGCCCACAGCCCCCAAGGGCCGCCCTGGTAGAACAGGAAGGGAGTGACAGCCGTGCCGGAGGAAAGCCGGCCTGGGTTGGACCCAGGGTAACTTGAAGCAGCATCAGAAGTAAATGAATGAATCCCCCAGATGACACACTCCACCCCAGTCAGTGCAGCCACAGGAGATAAGAGTGAATTCAATCCAAATGGTTATTTATTCTAAAACTGGAAGCTACTGTGCCTACATATTCGCCAGAATGTTGTCATGAGAACATGGGAGGAAAAAGTTACAGATGTAAACAATGACACAGTTACATTTTTTTTAAAAAATGGTAAAACCCTTTTTTACTGGCCACTTCCAAGAATGCTTTACAGGTTGTGCAAAAACATGTACAGGCTCCACGCGATGTCTGTTCTTCTCATAAGCGTTTCCATCTACAACAACTACAACAGACGTCTGATGAAACACAGAACAAGTCTCCTAAGGAAAACAAGGCTGGGACCCCTCCTGTTAATCCACATTTTGTCCCCTTAACATGTTTTCTTTTTTTTTTTTTTAATAATAAAAAGACAGAAACAAACCCCAGCCATCTAGGCTGTTGCGAGGACTCCACCACCAAGGACGTGGCACTTTCTTTCCACCCACCCAGAAAAACAGCTTTTTGGTTGTTGTTTAAAAAAGACGACTTTCTAGTGTCCAAATAATAACAGCAAGTACCTCCCCTAACCCTCCTCCCCCCAAGAAACACAAAGCAGCTCAGGGGCCCAGCACCCGCAGACCGGGTCATCGCAGGCCACGATGACAGGAGCTGTGTGCTGGAGGACTCCACACCTGAGCGGGCCCCAGAGCCAATTTTCTATTATAACGGGATCTTGCCCTAAGAGAATTTCTTTGGGCTCCAGTTTTTATCTCCTTGCCCTGATACTATCAGCAAAGCTTCTCAAAAACTCCCTTAATAATAATAAAAAGTTAGTGGGTTACAGAAAAGTTCATGCAATCACGGCATCCACTGCCACACACAAATCCATTGGACGGCACCGCAAGAATGCAGGTGCCCAGAGAAAAGACATCATTATGAGCAAGCAAACGTATTTCCTATCAGCCCCCCATTCCGGCCTTGGAGTGGGAGGGACTTGCGGGGCAGGCGTGTCACGGACAGAGGAAACTAGAGGCCAGAGTGAGAGCCAACAGGCCTGGAGACGGGCTACGTAGCAGTCACAGCGGGAGAGGGAAAGACCCAACCTCAGCACAAAATGTTTCAACAGAGAACCGCCCAGGTGAGGAATGGAAGTGAAGCACATTCTAGTAGCACAACCCAGGGTCTGCCCTCACTAGGAAGCCCTGCAGTATGTGGGATTTGCTGAGGAAGCCCTTGGCAGACTCAATGCTGAGCAGGAAGATAATTTAGAACTGAAGCTAAGTATTGAAAGAACATTCCCGTAGCCCACCCATATCCTTGAATCCAGCCACCTGAAGCCGTTAGTCAAGAACTGGGAGGGTGTTGGTAAAGTTACAGAGACCATCCCGACTGAAGTCTCCTGGCTAGAGGCCTCTCCGGGGATTTGCGGGGTAAGCACCCCAGGAGGAATCCTGTTTCAAGAAGTCAGGAAGGGGGGCTCCCTTTCATGCACACATTATACGCACATTCACGCTCTCCCCAAGTTGCAGCAGCCCCGCTGAGCTGCCTCCCACCCCCCACCCCCCTTTCTATGCACTTTCTACCTGTGTATCAAAAAGACCAGCAGGGCTTGCGCCCTCCACACTGTATAAAATAGTTGCTATTCTCAGCACCTGGGCCTGGTAGCCCACACCACAGGATTCACTTATGTACATATCCTGCTGCCGTGGAAAGAATCCTGCTTCATTTCCGTGTGAGCTGAAACCCTGAGAAACGCTCCTTCTCTCGCACTAGAAGAGGACAGATACTCTTAACAGAGATGATTTCAGAGACTTCACTCCCTCTCAACCTTGGAAGACGGAGAGAACAGACTGGCGGTCACAATCTTCAGGCCAGGACCCCAACCCCACTCTCCCCCAGGTCCCCCCGGGGACCCGCCAACGGGTGCACAGAGGGTGCGAGCCGCTCTGCTCTGCAAACAGGCACCGTCCCTGTCTCCTCAGCCTGGGCGTCCTGTACAGCGGAACCGTCCACTTGGTGGTCTCCAGGCCTCGGCCAAACAGCACAAAGGCACAGGACAGTGGAGACAATGCCACTGTGGCCGCCCAGCCCACCAGACCAGATATCCCGAGAGGGAAAGGTCGGTAAAAAAAAAAAATACAAACGGTTAGTGGTGCAAGTGATTGGTAAGAGCCAATCGTTTATTTTCACTGCCCCAGTCACAAGCTCTCCCTCTGTCCCCACTCCTGCCTGCGTGGACAGTGCCCTCTCACGCCTGCCCACCCTCTCCACACGCCTCATCGCTCTCCCTGCGTGGCTGCCAGCCCAGCTGCCTCACAACGTCAGCGGGGTGACGTTTTCAGGACTGCTCCTGTCAGCGGCGGGGTACAGGACAGGCAGCCCTAAGTGCTGCTTTCTGAGCAAATGGTTTTTGATTACAAATATCTAACTAGGTTTGAAATGTTTTATAGAATAAGACAATATTCTTTTCAACAAACTTTAAAAAAAATGTACAGTTTTGTCATTTGTTTCCACCTCCCCCCACCCCCACCCCTGCTTGCGCACCCTCCCTCCCACCGCCCCTCCCCGGCAGCTCAGCCCCACCCCGACAGCCCCTGTTTTCCTTGGTTGTGTTTTGGGGGGTGCCTGGCACCCCCAGAGATTCAGCGTCATAGCTGACAGGTGACAAGGGCAGGGGCTTCACCGATACCCTTGGTACCCGTAGTAGTTCCTGTAGTATCGGTCTCTGTCCTGGGGGTGGTGGTAGTAGTAGCTCTGCCACTAGAAGAGAGGGGAAGACCCCATCACTGGGAGGCACAGCTGGCCGAGGACAGAGGCATGACACTCGCTCCTCGGCTCCTGCCTCCCTGCCCCCGCGCTGTGCCCAGGAGGTACTCACATCTCGATTGTACTGTCTGTAATAGTCTCTGTATCTGTTGTATTCATAATCCCGGCTGTAGAAGCGATCATAGTCTCCCCTGTACCGATCGTAGAAATTACGGTAGCCCTGAGAAAGGGGAAAGAGAAGGGGTTAAGATTTACGGGTTTCCGGCATCATGATCCACTGCTGTGCCCCGTCTCACATGAAACACATCTCAGTTTGACTTTGTAACAGACTTAATCTTCCCAGGATAAATTCTTCCAGAGAAACACATTATATGGGCAAAACCCTAAGCCCTGAGGAAACAGCCCAAACCACTCTGCTCCCCCAAGCCAGTAGGAAGAGCTAGCACGGCCCAGAGGAGGAGCAGGAGGAGAGCTGCACTCACCCCTCTGTTTCCAGACTGCCCCCAGTACTGCTGCCCGTAGGCCCGGGTGTCGTAGCCTCGGCGCTGCCCGCCCACTGGAAGAGAAACGGGAGAGCGCGCTCAGACGGCGGGCACGGGGTCCTGGCTCCATGTCTGAGTGGACATCAAAAAGCTGGAGCCGCAGGCAATTCGGGGGGAATAGGAGGCCTGCTTCTGCCAGGCTCACACAGTGTTAATTAAAGCACCAGCCAGGGTCTTTTATCAAGTCTGAGAGGGGAGGGCAGAGGAATGGCGACACAAGAAAACCAAGCCACCTTGCTTTTGAAGCTCCCCAATTCCTGCAAAACATTCAGGATGGCGAAGAATACTTGGCAGAGTTAGAAACGTGAGTCAACACCGCCATTTGTAGAATCACTGACCGTCAGCCCTGGAAGCATCTCACACGCCACGGAACCCAGACCCATCGTTTTAGACTTGTGAAACAAGGTGTAAACAGTAAGCGCCTCAGACACCATGTTGACTTACTTACACACACACGCACACACGTACACACACATTTTTAAAGGGCAGTGAATGCACAAATGGGAGGATTAACTGACAAATGAGACATTCAAGAGGGATGGTAATCCCACTAGTAGCCTAATTTATTTCGTAACCCCCAAAATTACTGAATAATGCATTCACTTTGCAGTGTATGTAGTTGGGTTGATCCACTAAACAAAGAAGAAAGAAAACTTAAGGATCCAATTTCGCTGCACAAATCCTTTCGGTGCACTGCAGTTGTGAGTGGCAAACCCACATGTATGAGTGAAAACTAGACAAACGAGAAAGCCCAAGCACCGCTTTTCAGAAACAACTGCTCAGAAACAATTATTTTTGTTGAAAAATAACAACCTTTTGTTGAAGGATTATGGAAAAAGCACAAGAAGCTGGGGGGAAAGGACACAGAAAGAAATAAGCTCCATAAAGAAGTCACTTCCTTATTCCTGGTTAGTGACTTGACATGGGTCCTGCTCAGCTCAGACCGCGGCCGGTGGCCAGCGGGCCCCCGGGACTCACCGTAGCCTTGGCCTCGGCTTCGGTTCTGCCGGTTGCGCTTGTTTCGATTGTTGCGGCGGTTTGTCCGTTTCTCAGAGGGGGGCAGAAGCTTCCTTGCCTCCTCCTTGTACTTAGTGACAAGAGGCTGAGCTTCTTCCTTCTCCAGCTCCCCATATGTGACCTCATCCATATAATCGCATTTTTCAGGCAGAGAGAAGTTGGCTGTAAGAGTAAGAGAGAAGCTTGTGAGCCTGAGAAGTGCACCGATGGGGAAGGTCTCCTTATAAAACCTGTTACAGGAAGACTAAGATTTCCCAAGCTTCCTCTACTAGTGCACAGAGAACTGCTGGTCCTTTCATAAGTTTTCTCTGGATTGTAACAGCCCCAGGCACAGGGCTACCTGCAAACTGTAGATTTACAAGTTCTCAAGTGATCCATAATAAATTAAGAGTAAACTGGGTTAAGGTTTCTTATCAGGACAGAAGCAGGTAGGCAGAGGCTAAACGTAACCGAGAAAGGTTTTTGGGTTGGTTAGATAAGACGCTAAGAAACACAAGTTCAGAGGCTGAGTAGCAGTGGAATTCAGAGCAAGGGCCGGAGCGGTCCTCTTAATTCTTCGATGAACCCAGTTAACCTCCATTAACTAACTTCCTCCAGGTTCCTGAGTGTCAGTTATGGACTGGCATAGTTCACTCTGCGTAAACTGACAATCTGGCTCTTAAGCTACATAACCAGCTCCCATCCCTGGGCATTGTCAGAATTCAAAGAGCCATTAGTGGACCAGGCAGGTGGGAGCGCTGAGAGCTGACGGCAGCAGGGGTGGGCAGAAATCACACTCTGAGGAAACAGCAGGAAGCAGGATCAATCCAGACAGACAAGTCCACCTTATGGAGGACCTTACTATTATTAGGCTTTGTGTTGCATTAAAGATTTCAGGTTCCTATCAAACACTAAAACAAGCAAACAAACCTCCTACATTATCAGAAATCAAGATAACTATAAGACCATTCTATCCAAACGCTGTATTTTTAATTGACTTTTAGGGAGAGAGAGGAGAGAGAAAAACCTGAGTTTGCTGCTCCACTTACTGATGCACCTACTGGTTGCTTCTTGTACGTGCCCTGAGCAGGGATGGACCCCACAACCTTGGCATATTGGGACAACGCTCTAACCAACTGAGCTACCTGGCCAGGGCCCAGTCACTGTATTTTAATTTGAATCATAACATCTCCCCCCTCCGAAAGTATAAATTCAGTAAAACACAGCTTCCTTTCATTCACAATTGCCCTACATCTAGAATAGCAATGGGTAAATAGTAGACACTCTTTAAATACTCACTCAATGAATAACTGACTCAATGAAGCCTCTGCCTTGAGTTTTAATTATTCTATGAATTATTGTATCTTACCGAGAATGAGCCGAGAAGTTAGTGCTTCTCCACTCACTCTGCTTATTCATTTACCTACAAGTGCTCACACCCACTACTTAACTCTTCAGTTTTACACTCTAGGTGTGGAGAGTCACTCCAGGGACGAGAAAGCCCTAGTAAGGTACACACTGACCAAGGACAGGATCCCTGACTTGGACAGTTTGGGCCCACCTTTCATCTCCAGCATTATAGACTCAGGCACATCATCTCCCTCCACTTCCTTCCTCAACTCCAGCCTCTTCTTCCAGTCTTCCTCCTTAGGGACAACCACCACCACTTTCCGAGAGAATGTCTTGAACAGCAACAGTTTCCGCCGCTGGCCAGAGTTGTACACATTACACTAGGGACAGAAAGAATCATGGGAGTCTTAGAAATAAAAATCATTACCCAAACTCAACATAAGCACTTACGGAGCATCTTTTACAAATGAGGCACCCAATTAGGGATGTTACATACACAATCTCCTTTGATTCCTCAAGCTCTACTGGACAGTTATTAACGGATTTTGTGCATCAGGAAAACTGAGACTCATAGAGAGCAAGACTTGTCTGAGGCCACGAACCCAGTAAGTGGTGAAGCCAGGAATCCAAAGGACCTCTAACGCTCTGTCCGTTGCCTCTATTAAGGGTTTTATAGTCTGGGTCCATATACTCCCTGGTAAGAACGCTAACAGTAAGAGGTATCTCTGAGTTCAAGAAACATTATAACTATAACACAAAACTACCTAATCATAATTAACTAAGTGAACTGATTCTGTTTCTTAATTCAGTCTCTCTTTACAAATGCACCCACTTTGACTCTAAGTAATTGTATCAGATTAAATAGATGCCAGATTGTCATCTTTGGACCTTACACAAAATTAGGTTCCTTTCAATGTCTGAAAATACCTGATCAAGAATGAAGTTCCTCTTTGTCCGGGAAGCAATCTGGACCAGTTTACTAAGGCACTGGGAGGCTTGCTGAACTAAAAGGTCTCGGCTTTTTGGGTCCATTTCTGGTTCCTCAAGCCCCTTCATCTGATGAGTTTGAGAGAAAATGAAGAGAAACACAAGAAGTTATGAAGCAAGTTAAAGCCCGAGAGTCACTGGTAAGTGTCACCTCTTCAATGCCACCACAACAGTTTGGCCCTATTCCTCAGTGTCACGAATGTTGTCCATCTCCTGCAGGAGTCATTTCCAGTCTTCATCTGGACAGATTCCAGATTTTATCAGCTTTCAGAAGTACAACACAGCAAATGGGACTGGGGGACAACCTCCTTTTAACATACATTGAGCACTCATTTATCTAGTTGTGGGGCCCTTGTCCTCAGACACTTGAAAGACTAACTCCACTGGGAAAACAGTTTCTTGGAACCTCCAGGGCAAATTCCCATTTGACTAATAACCCCCAGTACCTTATCCTCATTTTAAAAAATTTACTGACTTTAGAAACAGAGAGGAAGAAGGACAAGGCAGAGGGAGGGAGAGAAGGAGAGAGAGAAACACCGACTCGTTGTCTACTTGCTGACGCGGCAGTCGGTGGCTGATTCTTGTACGTGCCCTGACCAGGGATCAAACCCACAACCTTGGCATAGCAGGACGACACTAAGCCATAACTACCCACCAGGGCCAACTCACCCTCATTTGATTGAGGACAGTCTCGGCTCCCAGGACATTGTATCTTTTCTCGGGATTTTCTTTTGAGTATTTCAGTGCCCACTGGGTCTTTCCAGACCCAGGCAGTCCCACCATCAGAATGACCTGCAAGCAGACAGAACCAGGAGGACTATGAAAGATAAGCAGGGGTCATGTTTAAGAACCCAATTTAGTAATATCCTCTCATGACCCAGGCCGGTGGAGTTTTGAGAAGAAAAGCTCTCCATGTCCACGGCTCCGAAGGGCGGGCGCTGGGCCTCCACACCCCAGGCCTACCTCGCACTCCTCTATGGCCTTGGGCGGCACCGCGGTGCGCACACGCTCCTCCACAGGCACAGCGTGGATGAACACGAACTCTTCCGGTGGTGGGAAGAAGGGCTCCTCCTTCTGACCAAAATTTAATTCCACGACACAATTTTTGCAGAGGACATGGGGTAGGAGGGCCCGGTCTGCCAGGGCCTCCTTGTGGATCCGGAATGCCACACCCAGGTCTTCCCCATTCTTAGAAAAGGAAAGTTCTACTTCTTCAGTCTCAAAATTCTGTAACAAAAGACAAGGGGCCTTCATGGGCTTACAGGGATTGAGGCTGAATGAATCTTACGATTTAATCTCACAAAAACAAAACAAAAAACTCAGTGACTGTGGCAACACACAACTAAGCATGACCTGCACCAAATACATAAAAAACAGCAACTGACAGGCAGCGACCGAACCCCCAGTGCCCTCCACTCACTCCTTGCTGTGAACCCACAATTTTCAGCAGCACTTACAGCAAAACAGCCAATGACATCGTTCTCCCCAAAAGTCTGGCCAAATTCCTCAAATTGCCCGTTCTCTGCCTTGAGTCCTCGTCCATCGAAACCGTAAGAGAATTCATCCTCACCTGAAAGTCAAAAAATTAGTTACCCACACTTAAACTTCCCACGGAGTGAGCAACACGGTAGCAAACACTAGTGAAGAAGTTAAAGTGACTTTACCAAGCTGTGGGTGGGAAAAATCAACAGACCACCCAACTCGAAGGAGAGAGACCTCTGTGCAGCCTTCTTTCATGGGGAGATTCTGGGTCACCTAGGGAGGGAAAAAAGTCCTCTCAGACACTCTGACCAACTCAGAAGCAAAGTTTGCCAAAGAGACAAGATTTTTATGCAAACTGAAAATGACAACTATACAACTCCACATCAGAATAGTAACTGTCAATGCATGTAAACCAAAGACCTGGGGGAAGACCCCCAGTTTCTTCATTATTGGAGCTAAGGTTATTGTTAACACGTGGTGCTTTTTTTCTGCACTAATAAAATATTTGTGGGAAGGAGTCCAGTATACAATAGTGTAAGGAATAATTTAGTGATTTTTTTTACATTTTTATTTTATTTATTTTTAGAAATTAGGGAAGGGAAGGAGGAAGGAAGAGAAACACAAATGTGTGGTTGCCTCTTCTGTGCCCCATCCTGGGCACCTGGCCCGCAACCCAGGAATGTCCCCTGACTGAGAACTGAATTGGTGACCCTTTGGTTCCCGGGCTGGCACTTAATCCACCGAGCCACACCAGCCAGGACTAATAAATGAATGCTTTTAATGAGCTATACGTTCTACCTTGGCTTCAAAGCAGACTTTCCCCTTTGTCACTCCGTAAGTACTCCTCGCCCCAGACCACAGAGTGGGGAACTTCTCTGAGAAAAGGGGCTGCCCTCCGTATCGGTCTTTGCTCACTTGAAAATGGAGATCTGAGGTATCTGTTAGGAAAGAAGCAATGTGTTTATGACAATGGCAACATCTGAAAGCCATCCACAGAATACAAACACACTGAGTTGTCAAGGACGGATACAAAGTCTCCCACATGCTACATCTCTTAAAAGTTGCAGGCCATGAAGTTTTAATCTCCAAAATCACTTCTCAGTGGTTAAAACCCCAACCTGCCTGCCTTATACATACACGTGTCCAGGTTCACAAGTGTTTGATCCTCCTCCTCATCTTTTGCCTCTTCTTCAGGGGGTGGTGGAGACTTTGAGCTATACATATAAAAGAAAAGCAAATACAATGTAACCAAAGCCCTCTTCTTGGAGGCGTGTCTGCATGGCATCGTGTCAGTTTTAAAATTTCAGTGAATATAAAATTCCAGCAGACAGCTTCTTTCAGTAAATGAGAAAAGGGCAACAGGAGCTTTCAGGGCAGATTCAATCTAGAACTTACTCCTATTAAAAAACCTACTCCGTTTTCAATCCGCCCCTCTTCCCAGACTCTCTGATTCACCAGGTGCACCGAAATCATAGCAGACAGTCCCTTCAATGAAAGGGACTGTTTCCCTCACCGGCTGTGGTAAGCCTCCTCTCGGAATTCATAGTAAGCTCGGCCATGTTCATCCTTCTCATCCCGCTGTCTCTTTACCCCCCGCCGCTCACCATCTGAGCCTGCTGGTTTTGACTTTTCACTATCTTGGTCATCTCCTACAAAAAGGAGGGAAAGAAAATCAGCAGTTTTCATACTGGAGCGTGGAATAAGCTCAGAACCAACAGAAACTAAAGGGCGATCTGAGTATCTGTCCCATCCGAGTACCCAAGCTGCTCCCACTGCATCCATGGAATGTTTTATTTCCAAAGTTCTTCCTCTTGTCGTTGGCTGGAATTTTATTTTATAAAAGGATACTAATTACAGTCAAGCCATAGATTAAAACTGGACAATTTCTGCACTCTAAATTTATCTGCTTAAATCAGGTCAAACTTGCAGCTTTCCCCACCAATATGGTATTTAAAAAAAATTCATACGTTACTTTTGATTCTTGATTGTCAGATTTGAATTTAAGCTAGTCATAAAACATTTTTTCTAACACTTTCCCACAGCTTCACGATACAGAAGACTCACTTAAAAAAATAAAAGTGTGCCTTTCAAGCTTTAAAATGCACAGCCATCCACAGGTTTACTTATATGGCAAGTGGACACAGGTGCATGACAGAGCTATAATATTATCATGAATTTTTACTGAAAGTTGCAAGAGCAAACCATTAATTCAGGAGAGATCCATAAATAACACTGCATCTTCACTGCACATAATTTTGGGAGAAAGGTGGTGTCACATACTTCACAGCATTCTTTCCAAGGGGGAAAAACAGGTGTTTTCCTTAGGCCTTTGAAGTTTTCAATACAAAGGTTTTTTAATAATAATTTAAGATATTTCTTCATCCCTCGGCCTTTTTTATCTGCTATTTGGGAAACACATTCAGTCAAAGGTTATGTAATGGGATTTTTGCTCCAGGACATAGGACAAACAATCTTCAAGCTGCACATGACCACCGTGGAATGGGTTCCATTTATACTATGATACTAAGTGGCAGCCTAAACAGCGTATTATTAAAAGAATTAAGGCAACCCGTTTTATTGTAAGAGTAGAAGCAGCTCTAGTTTCCCTCCTTATTCCGACAGATAGATAGTTAGGGAGCAGCTCTAACCATCCAATCACTTCAAAGGAAGACAGGTCACTAACTGGGGGGTGGGGAGCAACTTTACACAAGGTTGCTCAACGGACCCACCAACACCTCGATCATTTCAATTCGGTTACTCAGGAATCTGAAATGTACAAGGCTGGCTGAGTGTACAGCAAATTTACAAATAATGCCCATCCATCAACTCAGTGGTAAGATTACATTTTAATCATAATACAAGTGAAGTAAAACCCGTAGCCAAGTTGAGTGACATTCTCAAGGCACTAGATAAGACTTTCTCTTCACTAGTTAACCATTAAACTCGACACCTTCACACCACAGGCTGTTGCCCTGCTACTAAAGCGAGAGCAAGGTTGGGCTGCCAAATTCTGTGTGGCTCAAGCCATACCACCATGCTTTTAATGGAGAGAATCTTGATGAATTTAGTTTGCTGCTTAGGATTTTTATGGCGAAACACTCAACAGGCAGCCCAAGGGCCAAAAGCCTCAACAGTCGGTCTAGCTATTCGTGAAATCGCCAATTCCTCAGCACATTCTTGGTATAGGAAAAGATAACCAGCAGCGTGGGAGGCTGCTCCACAGGTAGCTCACCAGCAGTTCACATGCAACCCTGTTCACTTCCATCCACTACCAACCAACGAAGCAAGTTAAGCAGGAACCTCCCTCCTTCAAGAGAGTAGGGCCACCAACGGTGGTCAAACCTCCTAGAAATGTGCGAAGAGACTAAAAGCCACTTCCCCTGGGCAGTCCCACCAAGTGGTGATAGGAATCTTGCCCTTTCAGGTAAGAGAGAACAAGGGATCGGATCCCTCGGTGAAGGGCTGGGTGCCTGGGCGCACCCGGCTGGTTAGAGTCGGGCTCCGCTGCCAGCTCCTCACCCTGTTCCTCTGCGGCCTTGTCACCCGGCGCCTCGGATCCCGGTGTCTCGTCCCCGCTCCGCTCCTCCGGCTCGTCTTCCTCCCCCTTGCCGGTGCCCTGCTCTTCGCCACCATTTACCCCACCTGACTCGGCCGTGGCCTCCTCGGCCGGCCTCTCGGAAGCATCAGGCTCGGCCGGGGCCTCCACGGCTGCCACCTCCGGGGGCTCCGGCGGCGGCTGCGCGGCCTGGTCCGAGGCCTGGGTAGGGGGTGGCTCTTCGTCCTCGTCCTCAAGCAGCGCCTCCTCGTCCTCCTCCTCCTCTTCGTCCTCCTCCTCGTCCCCGCCCGGGCCGCCGCCCGACGCGTCCACAGGCCGAGGCTCCGCCTTGCAGGCCCCGCCGGGCACGGCCCCTCCACCACCAGCCTCGTCCTCGAGCATCTCGGCGTCCAGCGCCTCCTGCAGCCGCTGCGCCAGATCCACCTTGAGGCCGCGCGAGTCCAGGCCCCGCCGCTGCAGCTCCGACCGCAGCTCGGTCACTTTCAGCCGCTTCACCTCCATCGCCGCCGCCGCCTCCGCCTCCCGCTTGCCTCCTCCCCTGCGAACCGACGACCGAGCCCGACCGCGCAGGCGCCGCCGCCGCCCGCCTCCGCTTCACGCGCCAGCACTGAGCCCGCGCGAGCGAGCGCGCACGGACGCACGCAGGCGGCTAGGGCCGCGCGCAGTCTCTTCTACGGTTCTCCCTTCTGTTTCGCTCCCCTTTTCAGCCTACGGAGCCCAAAACAACGTATCGGGAAAGTATTTCCCTCTCTGCTTTTTCGGTTCCCCTACCGCGGGCGGGCTCGAGGCTAGGACGACGGACTTCCCTCCCTTTACCTCCCTCCCCCTCTCACCTACTGGCCAATCGCCGCCGGTGGTTTCACTGCGCAGCCGCACCGGAGCCGGAGACGGGAAAGCTTGGCTGCGGCTCAAGTGCCTCGTAGCACGGAGGCGTGTGCGCGCCCTTCTTTCCGTACTTCAGCCGGGGTTGCGCAGCAGCCCGGGCTCGCACAGCTCCTCCCACCCGGTCGCCACCATCACTCCCATCTGACTTCCTATCGCACTTTGGTCTTGGGGCTTGTTCACTAGTCTCTTCCTACTCTCTATGCGTGCAGCAACTTATTGAGAGTGTTAAAAAAAAAAGCCAGAAGGGAAGCTGTTGCAACGTGAAAGCCTCTTAGTAATTACATTTTTTGTTAGTAAACCAAAAGGCTCTCCAAAACCAAGGAATACAGTATCCCCTCGCCCCGCCCCCCAATTGCTCAACTTCTACCTAGCAACAGATTGTCGGACCTCGCCTTTTAGCTAGATCATTGGCCAACTTGAATTGTCATCTGCAGTTGTGATTGGTCATCCGTGATCATCGGATTTTTCCAATTGGCGAAATTGTCAGGGGATTTTTTTTTTTTTGCCCCCTCCCCGCGTGTAGGTCCGTAGGGGAGGTGGGAAAGATTGGGTCTTTTCTGTGGGATTACTTTTCTGGGTCCGCTTCTGATTGGGCGGCGTGGTGCAATGCGCGCGACCTTTTAGACAACAAACTGTCAAGAGACCGGACCCCGTCCTCCGGATTCTCCCATTCGTAATCCAAAATCCAGGGGGATACTTCCGGGCTTGGGCATGAGGGCTGGCCTTGGGCCTTGGAGAATTTGCAGCTGAGCTGCTTTGCCACCAGGCCAATCGTGGCCTTTGGGCACGGACCACGTTCACTTTGGTCTCCTAGGTCCTGGCACAGACCTCAAAGAATGCTAGTTGAATACGTGCGCATAAAAAGCTGGGACGGAGGCAAACCGTCTAAACTTCTCTTAGCAGTTGTCCCCGCCTACTTTTCCACTTCCAGGTCAGGGAGGTGTGTCCAAAAGAAAGAAAGAAGGAAGCAAATTCCACCGGCATTTGCACGCCTGCCTCAATTTCTTACTGCGACCTTTGCTTCTTCCGGGTCTCCTGCAGAATCGCCTCTTTAGAAACTCACTTAATCTCTGGCTTTCCCATTCTCACAGTCTCACAGATTAGTTTCTTGCACCACTGGAGGTTAAAAAATACTGCATAGAGGAAAGGAAGGGGCTGTGGTAGAAACAAGCAAAGCTCATTCCCTGCAGGGCCTCCTGGAAAAGGGTAATTGCCTGCCTTAGGTCGACTACCAAAATCAGTATTTCTGCTCCCACCCCCAGAGCTTCAGTTGCTCTTTCGCTTCGTAATTCCGCAATAGCAATGGGCGACAGAATTATGGAGAAGCGCCTGCAGGAGGCTCAGCTGTACAAGGAGAAAGGGAACCAGCGTTACCGAGAAGGGAAGTACCGAGATGCTGTGAGTAGGTACCATCGAGCTCTGCTTCAGCTGCGGGGTCTGGATCCAAGTCTGCCCTCCCCGATACCTAATCTAGGACCTCAGGGCCCGGCTCTCACACCCGAACAAGAAAACATACTGCACAGCACCCAGAGAGACTGCTACAACAATCTAGCTGGTAAGAACAGGGAGGAAGGGTGGGTAAGAATCTCCAGGCAGGTACACGAAAATCTGTGAACATTTGGAAAAACCCTGACGGGCTTTTCTGCTATCATCTAGTTATTCTGCCATGAATTGAAATGTATTTCCGATTTACAGGGCTCTAGCTGAGTTTCTGTAGAACGGTAGTTCTCAAACTTCTGGAGAATTTATGAAACAACTCCTGAACCCCACCCCCAGAGTCCGATTTACTAGGTGTGAGGTGGTGCCTACCATTTATTTGCATTTTCCAACCGATTCCCAGGTGATGCTGATGGGTTTAGGGAATTTTCCGCCCAATGGAGAAAATACTGAATTTATATTGAGGGCATTATTTTTTTAATATTTAATATACCGGAAGGAAGGCTCTTGTTTCAGCTGGTGTAAGTCATTCTTACTAGATGCTTTGGGTAGCCTTTCCTTATTTTCCTCTTACCTGTAAATCAGCTGGCTAATAATTTGGGTAACTAGTTATCTGGCATTTCTAGATGGCCTTGGGTGAAGAGATGAATACAAGGATTAGTATCACTGGGATGAATCTGCCAAAAGACAGGAGACTTCTTAGGTCTGTTCTGTGACAAGCAAACTAACCATGGAACAAATTAACTTATTTTTAGGTATATTAAAACATTCTCGGCCCTGGCTGGTATAGCTCAGTGGATTGAGCGTGGGCCTGCGAATCGAAGGATCGTGGTTCAATTCCGTCAGGGCACATTCCTGGGTTGCAGGCCAGTTCCCAGCAGGGGACACATGAGAGGCAACCATACACTGATATTTCTCTCCTCTCCTTCCCTTCCCCTCTAAAGATAAATAAAATCTTTAAAAAAAAACCCAAAACATTCTAACGGTCCAGACCGAGGCCATAAAAGTTATTAGGAGTAGTTTTTACATTTTGTAATGGTTATTTGAAAATGATTTTTTTTACTACAATACTCATCAGCTATACTTCAGGGAAAATCTAGCTTTTTTACAATGTGTGTCCAGTGCTACTCTTGGACTCAAGTAATAAAAATAGCAGTTATAGTAGCTAATGTTTAAATTCAATCGTTTTTACTGAGCGCCGAGGTTCCCTGCTCTCATGGAACATATATTCAAGGGAGGGAGATGGACAATTACAAAAAAGCAACACGTATATATTTTTTGAAAATGGTAAGTACTACGGAAAAGAAATAAGGCAGAGAATGAGTACAGTGAGTGCTTATGAGATGCCCAAGGCAGACACTGTTTGAGCCCCTTACCCAAACTAACCTGTTTAGATGTCACAACAACCCTTTGAGGTGCATTTAAGGAAACGGTCAAACAGTAGTAAGTGGTGGGGCTAGAGGCAAATCTTAACTCTACACCCGAGTTCTTATTGCAGAATCCTGCACATTTCCCTTTTCCGTTATGAAAAGGCAGGAGATAGGCCTTCACGTTGCCTCCTAAACCGGTTTGTGTTGTGAGGTCCCGTTTGACAGTAGGGTCTGTATTAGGGAACTGACTAGAAATTAGGGAAATGTGGTGTTGGAGAGATGGGGACGTCTGTCGAGGACTCACTGAATTACCTACCAGTTTACACCTGTTGTCTGCTTGTGACATGTTGAGCAGTGTATTTACAGTATCTCTCATTACCCAAAAATCCTGCAAGGTTTTTATGATTATCCCCATTTTGTAGAGAAGGGAGCCAGATCATTTCACTGCTTAAAATCCTCCAGTGGCATCTCATTGCACTTAGGAAGAAAATCCGAACTCTGATCCTTACCTGCAGAGCCAGACATGGTCTGGCCCCTCCATACATTGAATTTGTAAAGTACATTTCTGTCTTCCAGCTCTGTAGGATCTTGTCTCTGAGGTTAGAAAGCGCTGTCCCTTGAAGGACCCTTGTCCTTCAGATTTTGGCTCAAAAGTCACTTTCTTAGAGAAATCTTCAGTACCCAAGCTGCACTCTGACCTCATTCACTCCATTTTTAGGCAGTGCTGGTTCTCCAAGCACTTAAAAAAATTTTGTTTGTTTATTGTATGTTCCTGCTACTTGGAGACTAGGATGCGAACTCTGCTTACTCATCAAGATGGGGGTCTGGTTCCTCTCGTCCTGTTCCCAGCCCTGCCTAGCACTTGGTCAGTGCCCCATAGCTAGTTGTCAAATGAATGAATGAAGCTATAGTAATGGGTTAGTTGACCACGTATCTGGGGAAATATCTGAGGACAATCTATGACCACTTGGTGGTGATGTTGTAAAAGGGATGCAAACATTGGCCCTTTAATGGGCTCACCAGCCAGGATGCTCAGTGCCTAGCCTCATGTTGTAATCGTACTGTGTTTAATCCCACACTTATGGAAGAGGGAAACATTTCCTATCTTGATTATAAAAAAGCAGAAGATTGACCTGATCGTTGCCCCCTTTTGAAGTATATTAAAACATTCTAACTGTCCAGGCTGAGGCCACAGAAATTATTAGGAGTAGTTTAAAAAAAACTACTTCTATCATATTTGTATGTTGAGGTGCCATTAAATCATCCAAGGGATTAGTGAAATAAAATATCATCAATGATGATGATTTCAGAGTCAGAGTCTTTGGTTCAAATGTCTTACTCATTCCATCCAGAAGCTGTGTGATCTTGGACAAGTTACTTTACCATTCTGAGCCTTCATTTCTTCATCCATCCATTAAATGGAGGTAGTGACACATACTGATCTCACAGAGTGGATGAGAAGATTAAACAAGCACATAGCACACTGCTTACTATTGCCTTGCATAATCATTATTTTTTTGTTTTGCCTCATGTGGCAACTGCAGTTGTTAACAAAGTTGCAGTACAAGAATTGTGGTGAAGTGGAATGTTCAAGAGCTGTGAGTAGAAGAGACACAAGGAAGAAGAGGTTTACATAAACTTTAAAGTATATTATCAGTTTTATAGCTGGGCCTAACCCAACACTAGGTACATAGTAGGCATTTGGCAGATACTGAAGTCGATTCAAGGTATGTAAAGCTTTTATACACTGCTACATCCCAGACTTAGAAGGTCTGGCGCAGGGCAGACACTCATGTTTATTTGTTGGATAAGTGAACATTGTTGATGTCGTTCTGTGTTTGGTGCCGCCTTGAGTTGGCCAGTGAGATTCGGTGTAACAAGGCCCTCCTCCCTCTTCTCTTTTCCTTTCCTGTGGCCCCATTAGCCTGTCTCCTTCAGATGGAGCCAGTAAACTACGAGCGGGTGAAAGAGTACAGTCAGAAAGTCCTGGAGCGACAGCCTGATAATGCCAAGGCCTTGTATCGGGCCGGAGTGGCCTTTTTCCACCTGCAGGACTATGACCAAGCTCGGCAGTACCTCCTGGCTGCTGTCAATAGGCAGCCAAAAGGTGAGCAAGGAGGGGATTGAAGTGGGGAGGACAAAGAACATTGTCCTGTTTGGGGTGTAGCTGTGGAAGGTGGTTTTATTTTACTTTTGCAATTTATTGAATTTTTTAAAAAATACATTTTACATGGCTCAAAATTTTTTAAGTATAAAAGTGTACAATGAACAGGCCTTATCCTCTTACGTGCTTGTCTCCACAGCAAAGCAATATGGTGTATCCTCTGGAAATCTTTATGCTCAATGGGCACACGCGTATACTGGATTCTCCCCCTGCCCCCTATTAGTGAAAGAGGTTTTAGAGCTTTGTTTTCCAAGTCTCACTTCCTAGATGGAGACTGAAATGGGATCCAGTGAATACACTTGATAATCCTCATTTCTGCCTGCCAGCTCTCCAGCTGGGGTCTGGCTTTGCTTAATCAATTTATTCTTTATCTCAGCTAACCCCAGATATGACCTAGAAAAAGGCCTACTGAGAGAGAATCTGAGACTTGGCCCTTTGTTTCCAACTCGAAAAGGATATTGTGAAGCAGATGGGCCTGGGCAGGGATGGCGGGCTCGTTCCTGTGTTGATGGTTCAGCACTGAACACTGTCTCCCTGTTTGCATTCTGGCTTAGAGGCCAGAAGTAGAAGGTTCCCAACCATTTATAACAGCACAGTAAAATCTCATCAAATGAGAAAGCCACTATGAATTGATAAAGATATCAAATATGAGCCACTTGTCCATGTTACTTACCTTCAGGTACATAGATCAACTGCCACCCAGGTATAGCATCTTTAGTGGCTCAGCTAGGACAATAACTATTTCTTCAAACTCCCTTTCATCATAAAAGTAGCAACCAGCCCAGGCCTGTATAGAGATTTTTTAGAAATCCAAAGGGGTCGCAATGAGATTTACTATTGTGTGGAAGAGTTGTGATATATTCAGATCTAAGAATGGTTAAAGAAAAAATGAAAGTATGTTAACACTCTTCTCCGGCCCCGAGGTGAGGTCCCACTCTAACTTTCTCTAATTGCCTCCTTCGCCCCCTTCTAAGATGCCAACGTCCGGCGGTACCTCCAGCTGACACAGTCAGAACTCAATAGCTATCACCGCAAAGAGAAGCAGCTCTACATGGGCATGTTTGGTTAACAGAGAAGAGTGATGCTTCTCCACTTGAACTTAGGCGAACTGTTAAAGACCAGTCAAGTGAAACCTGAGCTTCACATACCTCTGACCCAGGTGGATTTCTGTCTCGTTTCTACTTCTGCACAAACTCTTAACTGCTTACATAGTCTGCCTCTTTTTGTTTGTCTCTCTGTATGTTTGTGGAGCTTTTACTACATAGTATTCTTGGGGACATTGGCCCTGAGAAAGACAACCAGGAAACATTCATCAGCCATGGGCGGCATTAGTCACATCTACAGCACAGATTTTAATGATTGGTGTTGCTAGACGTGTTCGTACACGGAGGAGATGTATTGCTGGCAGAGGAGGCAATGACGATAGGCAGGAAAGAGCTTCTTCCTGTTTCGTCAGATGTCTTAAGCTAAAGTTATACAGGCCAAAATGGGCAGGGCGTATCTTTTGTGAAATTAGACAATGGTAAATTAGGCCCGTATGTGTTAAAATGAAAGACCGGAAATTAACCAAGTAAAGTAATTCCTTATTCTTCTTAACATTTTGTACATACTGATTTTTTTCCCCTACAAAAGTATCTGATTGCTATTGTTTCTCTTGGTAATTTCTGGTCGTTGCTATTTATATTGAGCTCGTTAATGTAGTAGACTTATTTAATTTTTCATTACACTCTTTTAAGATATCTGGAGTCAAGCATTTAAGTATTTATTTAATAACCCTTAAGCCCTCATGCTATGAAAAGACCCAAGTAAACATTTTAATTTTTAATAAGTGCATGTAGTATGCTTGTTTGTCTAAGATGTTTAGGAAAGGCAGATTGCTAAGCCTTCTAGAAAGAATACCGTAAAGTAGCAGAGTAAAAACATAAATCTGTTCTCTGCCTGTCGCCTTGCATTTTGCCAGAGCTCAATTCTTTTACAGAGGAGACAGACCATGAGGCAGCGTTCTCCTTTCTTAGTGCCTTTCAAGCAGTTTGCAAAACTTTCTGGAAGCTACAATCTGAGGCAGATGTGGCTCAGCAGGAGGCTCCATCCACCAGGAGCTCCTTGGTCATTCCGCTCACTTGCCAGGTACACTGTCCGCAGTGAGTGAGTGCTACAGAGTGGACGGGACCGCACAGCACTGCCTCTGCCTCTGCCTCTGCCTCTGCCTGGAGGTAATGATAAGGATGTATCATTGGCCATCATACAACCACAGACAGTTTTCAGAAAGAAAAACCGTAGTGTTGCCAAATGTACATGAGTTCTGCTCTCTTTACCAGTAACGCCTCGTCTCCCAATGAACTAGGCTCCTTTGCGTCTCCCCGTACCCTTGTACAACACAGCCACCAGCTTTACCACAAAAGTTTTCTAGTAATTGTGAAGAAGTGCAAGGACAGAATTAACAAAAGTAGAATATTTTATTCCTCTTCCAAGCCTCTTAAATTTCTAAATCTAGATTGTTGATAAAACTTTGTCGTGATTGCATTGTTTAGGGCTTGTTTTGCTTTTCCATTTTATCTGTGTGTGTGCGTGTGTGTGCGTGTGTGTGTGTGTGTGTGTGTTTTCAAGACAGTGTTACAGGGACCTATTTTCTGCATCAATGAGGAAAAATAAAACTGATATTTAAAAATGGATCATAGAAATTTCTTGCACTCATCCTTTTATTAGCGCTGCTAAGACACTCAGTGGTCAGGCCCGTATCGCAGTCTTTATAGGCCAGCTCCTGGTGGAGAGGTTCATGAACAGGAGAGTGGAAAGGGGAGGCAGTCCGATTGGGTCTGGAGGAGGCCGGCAAGCCCACATCCTGAGGGAGTCATCCAAGGTACCAAAATCAGGACTGAGGGGTTTGTGGAGGGGGAGGCTGCTCATGTCCGCTGACCCTCAAGGTTTCCGGGGTTGGAGTGAAGAGAAGGCATTCATGGCAGGTGGGAAGGGTTACACTTTGGCACATAGGAGACAGTTCAGAACAGTATTCTCTGAATGAACAGAACTCATACCCACCCCCTTCACAATTTTGCCAAAACCACATACTACCTATACTACTACTTAAATGTTATTTAAATATGTATTTTTAAAGGACAAAGGAGTATGTTAGATGATACCATGGGGATGTAAATGGCAAACTTCGCACTGTGAAACCATGAGTAACTTAATTTCTTCAATAAGGAAATTGCAAGGAAAAAGAGAAGGGGACCTATGGAGTGAAAGAGGCTTAAGAGATGTCAGCCAAGTAAATGTGACTTGACTTTGGGTTCTGATTTGAACAAAACAGATAAAAGCCTATGGAACTGAAATAACAGGGGATATATATATATATATTTCTAGTTTTCTAGTTCCTGGTACAGTGTTCCCAAAAACCTTGGAATTTGGATTGATTGGGAAAAACAAGAGCTTATGAGACATCCCTGGTTGGAAGGCCCAGTTGGTTGGACCATCATCCTGTACACCTAGGGTTGTGGGTTCGATTCCCCATCAGGGCACATACCTAGGTTGCAAGTTTGATCCTAGGTCTGCATGCATTTGGGAGGCAACCAACTGACATGTCTTTCACATCTCTCTGTCTCTCAAACCAATAAACGTATCCTCAGGTGAGGATTTAAAACAAAAGTTTGAGACAGTTGGAAATTTGAACAAGAATTATTGTCAATTTTGTTGAGCACGATAATGTATTTGAAGTGCATACTGAAATTGCTTATTAATAAATCTAGGAAGGGGACTTTAGAGCATATCATATCATTTGTCATAAATAAATAAAATGTTTTACAATAAAAAGTATAGTATATGTCAAAGTAAAACATCTTTGTAAACATCAGCTTTGGAAAAATCAAAATCAAATCCAACGTGGAATGGGCTGAATTGGTGGGTTTTGTGAAGCTGAGCTTAGCCAAATGCCTGGGATTGAAGAGGCATTAGCACTAAGTGAAGGCACACTTACAAAGTAGCCAATTAAGAGAAGAAATGAGCTCTGGCTGGTGTAGCTCAGTAGACTGAGCACGGGCTGATGAGCCAGAGCATCGCGGTTCAGTTCCCATTCAGGGCACATGCCTAGGTTGCAGGCCAGTTCCCAGCAGGGGACGCACAAGAGGCAACCATACATTGATATTTCTCTCCCTCTCTCCTTCCCTTCCCCTCTAAAGATAAATAAATAAAATCTTTTTAAAAAGAGAAACCCTAAACTAGAAATAATGCTGGAGAGAAAAGAGTGGTTGTCTGAAGACTAAGTCAGAGTATAGCTCAAAGCAAGTAACTCCCCTGCGGAAGACTCTTCCTAGGCTGGGGCCTGGCCTGTCCCCGCCTATGCCCTCCTGGGAAAGGAGGCTGATCTTGGGCTCAGCAGAAGGAAGCATCATCCAACGATTAGCATTCTCCAGCAATAGAGTTCCTGTGGGGACTGAGTTCTCTCAAACTGGGATAACAACTGGCCAGAGGAGGATCAGTGTCGGACTAGGAGGTTACATGAGCTGACCTGTGGTTCCTTGAAGCCATGGATGGGACAGACCATCAAAAGCAGTGAAAACTCTAGATAATTTCTTGACCACACCTTCATAGACAACAAAATGTTTCTAGCATCCAGCAGATATAAAGTGAGGCAACTATGGCTTTATTTGTGTTGGCTTCTGTTTTCAATATCTTGAAAATTCCTAACTGCCACCTCCAATGAAGAATGCATCTCACATCTAAAACTAATATATTTTGTGCTATCATTTAAAAATGAAAAAAAAAAAAAGAATCCATCTTATGCTGGGAACTGAAAGCAAATGATTGCTTTTCAGGGGAATTTCAGCAAGTAGCAGATCCTCCGGAGCCTATGTAGGCTGAGACAGTAACAATGGTTCTGGTGAGGGCAGGTGTTCCCCAGGCTGTCCGGAGAAATTATATACATTATGTACACATGTGGACACATTATGTCTTGCTTTTAAGAACTCATGTTCTAAGGCAATCAGTTTCTTTTTTCCCCATAAATACATGGTATGTATGTATCACATACCATAAAATTCACCCTTTTAAAAGCAATTGATTCATTTTAGGCATTCTGATTTTTTATTTACTCTAGGAAACACAAGAAATGATGCACCACTCAGCTAGAGTAGATCTTTTTTTTTTTTTAAAGTTTTATTTAGCCCTGGCTGGTGTGGCTGAGTGGATTGAGTGCTGGCCTGTGAACCAAAGAGTTGCCAGTTCAGTTCCCAGTTAGGGCACATGCCTGGGATGAGGGCCAGGTCCCCAGTTGGGAGAGTGTGAGAGGCAACCAGTTGGTGTTTTTCTCCCTCTCTTCCTCCTTCCTCCCTCCCTTACCCTCTTTCTAAAAAGTAAGTAAATGAAGTCATTAAAAAAAGAAAAATTCAGGAAATTTACTCGTATTTTCACTCTTTTCTAAATTTTCCTCCCTGCTTTTTTCAGACTGTTTCTTGCATGCCAGAGAGAAGGGTCGGTCTGTAGGCAGCCTCTAGACCACCCTACAGCAGCAGTCTTCCTCAGACTGGGGCCCACCCTTCTCTTCCCTAAGTCATATCCCTAGATCTCTTCCTTCATCCTCCTCCAACACCCGAACTCCCGTTTCTCCGCCGCCTCTATGGTCAGTAGTCACCCGTGTGCCCACAGATCAGTAATTCCGCCTCTCTAGGCCGTCATCACACTTTCTAAGGATGATTCTCTCACCTGGAGTTCCTTGCTTTAGTTTTCTTAAGCACCCATCATTTTCACACAAAAAGCCCTCAGCCTCCCCCCACAAACCTGCCACTAAGGGCTTAGTGCTTTCTGTCTGTCCATTTCTTTTTTAGAGACCTCAACTCGCATTTACGACATGTAGGCAAACATTTCAAGTCACCAGTACAGTATCTGTTCTTCAAACAGCCAGCCGAAGGTCTTTCTACGTGGAAAACAGAGGGAAAGGGGTAAGGACTCAAAGCCACACAGTGAAAAGGACGGAAAACAACTCATAATTCTCAGTGAACTATTTTCAATAATGTGTTAAGTCAGCATAGTGAACATGGTGTTTTAAGTCAAGCCATGGCTCAAATTCTGGCTTGCCCCTTAACTAGCTCTGTGACCTTGAACAAGGTAACTGATTTTTGAATTTCAAGTTTTCTTGTCGGTGGGGAAAAAAAGAGGGGAGCCAACACCTCTTAAAGTTGTTGAGGATTAAATGAGTATTTATATGAAGTCCCTAATACAGCCCAGTACACAGGAGCTCACTACAACAATAAACCATAATTGTGTAAGATCCTCTAATTTGTATATTTTCCTAAGCAAAGTCTACATTGCCTTCTGCCTCTCTCACTTTTTTCCGCATAATCAACCTGATCCCCACCCCTACTCAAGTACAGATGGCAAATTCTTGTAAGATCTAGAGTTGAGGTATGAGTCAGGAGTCATGCAGGTTTGGGGAAGAAACCAGCCAACACCAGTGCAGTGAGATACTTTCACTGCTAGCTTTATGGTCCAGAACTCAGAGTGAGAACTATTACACCCAGGAAAACTCCCAGTGCCCTTGGAGAGGAGCTGACTGAGATGCTCTGCCCATCAAGGTCCCGCTAGTTAGCTAGGTAAAAGGACAGGAGGAACCTTCAGCCTGGGCAGAAACCATTCTGTCATCAAGCAGGGGAACTGAGATACTTCCAACCCTCTGTGCTGCCCCATCGATAGCAAGAGCAGGCTTAGCATTAGCTCATGTTAGTTTTTGGGCCCAAGTACAAAATCTTTGGGTGGCCCTCCACCAGCGTTCTGTCTGTCTGCTGTAGGGGAGCCAGGGAGGGGCTGCACTCCTAGGAGGGGGCCAGCCTCTGGATCTGGTTTGCTGCGTTTGGCCAGGTCCTCATTGTGAGCTTTGCGGATGTGGCGGTACAGGTCCCCTGACTGTGTGTAGCTGCGCAGGCAGTACCGGCACTCATAGGGTCGCTCCCGTGTGTGCACTGTGGCGTGGCGCCGTAGTGTGTAAGAACATGAGAAGGTCTTCCCACATGTCTTGCAAGTGGGAACATCCTCAGTAAAAACACCAAAGCTTCCTGGGGCTGCTTCATACTCAGAAGGCAGGTAAAGTGGCTCATGCAGGGTTGGGGGTGCAGGCAGGGGCGAGGTCACCAATCCTCGCTGATACTGTGCTGCACCTGACACCAAATGGTAGGGCAGGTGAGAGTCTGGGGGCAGAAAGTGGTCATTTGGCCCCACCTCCTCCAATCCTGCTGCTCTTGACTCCTCAAAAGCCTCTTGCTGGGGGGGCTGTCCACCATACATTGCCCCTCCAGGCGGGAACAGTCCCTCAGGCCCCTGAGGCTGTTCCTCTGACACATCCGGCTCCTCATCAGAAATCACAATAGCTTCTACTTTCACCTGGACCAGTTCAGCTTCCGCTGGGGTTGGAGCCTGGGATGGAACTGGGGCTGCGGCCGAAGCTGGGGGATAGAAGCCTTGCAATGGTGCTCCAGTACCCCTTGGCTCCGTCACCCTCAGACTCTCAGAACCCATATCAAGGGGAGCCAGTGGCTCCACTGAAACTGCTGGGAGGCCAGAAGAGAAGTAGTTTGCAGGAATGTTCTCTGTGGAGCTACTGGGGCTGGCAAGGGAGACATCAGCCACTGGTGGAGGAGGTGCCCGTAGATGCAGTGAGTCAACCTCCACTCCGGGCTGTGTAGTGTCAGCCCCACCGGACACTGGTGGCTCATCTGGAGGGCATACAGTAGGTGAGGGAGCCGCATGTCCTTTCCATTCCCCTTTGGCCCAGTGGCCTGATGTCTCAGTAGATGCCAAGGAAGGCTGAGGGCCACGGGAAGTGTTGGACAAAAACTCCAAACTAGGGGGCTGTGAGCTGGTTTCCTCCTCCTTCTTGGTACTGTCTGCCTCTGCCAGGGCCCGGGCTTGCAGCCGCCGCTTACACACCTTGACGATATCATTCATGTGCAAGTAGCTGGCTGCTGCCAGCACGTCTTCCACAGGGGTATCCCCTCTCAGGACCAGCTGCCCAGCATACATAAAGTCCAGAAGCAGCCCAAAGGCCGGGGCCGTGACAATCTCATTGTGGATGCACACCAGATCTCTCTTGTCCAGCTCCCGCTCTTTGTAGAAAAGCTGGAAGAATGGGCTGCAGGAGGCCAGCACAGCCCGATGAGCCAAGAATTGGGCGCTACCCACCATCACGGTGCAGTCACAAAGAAAACCCTGGGACCGCTGTTCACGAAGGCTCTGCAGCAGCTGCTGGCTGTGTTCTGGGAACTCCATAGCACCCCACAGAGGGAAATCCCCTACAAAGATCCCCACCAGAGGTTCCCTGGGAAGAAAGGACAGTGTTTTAGGGCACGTAAACTCCCCAGAAACCTTAACGACAGCCCTGAGCTATGACGGGCGGTCCCCAAACTCCTGACAACATTGCCCTGACCCCAAGACGCACGCTTAAATTACTATCTTTTTCTCCTAGGTCACACCCAGTGGTTTCCTTTAGCCCCGCCCCCATACTTAACCTTAGCAGCAGACCCCGCCCAGTCAACAATAACCCCGCCCCGGAAGTCCCGCCTCCCAACTAGCCTCCGCTTCCTGGAAGTCCACCCAGTGGCTTCCAGCTGCTCCTCCAACTGGGAATCTTTTTCGGTCCCAGGCCTTCCCGAATGGTACCTCCACGCCCCACTCCGGGAACTCCCTGAGCCTCTCTCTCTCGCATTCCAGGGGTTAAAGAGTCCTAGGTGGAAACTAGAAGAGAGAGATGATCCTTCACCCACCATCGAGCAGCCAATGGGCGAACTCCACCCCTTCCCACCTTCTTAGATGTAACGGGAGCAAGTTTGCCTTCTCTTGTCACGGATTGGTTCACTGTCCACTAACCATCCTCCCTCTTTGAGCGGCGTTTCCAAGTGGGTGCTCGTGTCCGTGGCTCAGTCAGCTAAGCGCTGGATTGGTTGGTGTTCCTGTCTTAAACTTTAATTCCTCGCCCCTCCTCCTTTGCTTCAGAGCCCTCTGGATTGGCTGAGCTTCTCCGTCTACTTGAAGCAGGGACCCGGCTTTAGGGACCAGAGCGCGACGAGCTCACGAGCCGTACCGCGGACCCCCACTTCGCAGACTGTTGTATTGCGTCGGCTGCAGGGTGGCGGGAAAGAAAGCCAACAAGCTGTTGTGGCACTCAGGAGTCCCCGGTTTTTAGACCCTGCTCTGCCGTAACCGGGGGCAATAGCTATACCTTTCTGAACTGCAATGGTCTCTCTCACTCTAGAACTGTGATTGCCTCTTGAATGTTGCTGCTTCGTTCCCCTCAATCCGACGGTTTGGGCTTGTGACTCAGTAAAGGTGGTGTCAGAGAACTAGCAGCTGTGTGAATGCTGTCGTAGTCCTTAGCCTGAACTCTATGGTCAACGTACAATAAGGAGATTCCAGTGCCCTCCTCTGTCTGGAGCATACTGGGCAGGTGCTGTTAGGAGGGGAGGGAGGCTCAAGGCCCTAAAATACCCCAGGATGGGAGAATAGAGAGCATGTATACTTTTGAAGAAATCTTTGAGAGTCCCTAGACAATCGTAGAAAAGGGCTGTAAATTGAGAGTTAATGAAACCTGCCTCTTCTTTGACCAATGTGTTGGTCAGAGCAATGTGTTGACTGTGTTACCAGGGGAATAATTCAATGCCTGTAATCCACTACTCACCCCTTCACTCACCACACTAAGCGCTAAGCAGCTCCACTTTTTCTGCAGCCAAGCCTTCCAATCAGACCTAACCAGAATTAGGGGCAGTTCATCCCCTATCCATCCTTGTACTAGAGACATGCAGACCACACTAGCCTTGGCTTGAGACTCCAGCTCTTCAAGCTGTTCTTCCAAGCCATACAATATTTATTGTATAGGAATTAAAAATAAGTAACATTTTAATTTTTTATGAAACATTATTTTCAAAAAATTTTAGTGAAAATAATGGCATTGTTTTATATTTTTCCAAATTTCTTTAATGTCTGGCTTAATAGAAGACAGTGGGCTTTGGTTTTCAAGCCATTATGAGAGATTGTTTTGATTACATGAGGAACGTCTGGCCTCACACTGGTGGGGAAGCATGGGATTGGCCACAGTGAGGAGTTTGTATTTTATTCTTAGTGTACTGGAAGTCATTAGTGGGTTTTAAGGAAGAGAGTGTTCTGATATGATTGCTTTTATTTTTTATTTTTTTAAAGATGTAATTTTTAGATTGAGGGGAAGGGAGAAAGAGGGAGGGAAACATCATTGTGTGGTTGTCTCTCATGCGCCCCCTATTGGGGACTTGGCCTGCAACCCAGGCATGTGCCCTGAGAGGGAATGGAACGGGTGGGTGACCCTTTGGTTTGCAGGCCGGCACTCTGTCCACTGAGCCAGGGCTGGGTCTAGATATTTAGAATTACAGTTCTTTTAATCTCTGTGCCAATCTGCAAAAGGTATTCCCTCTCTGGTCAATGCACCCTAGTGGCCACCACAGCTTAATAAAACAAGTATGCCCTGGATTTAGGCCTCTCTCACCCCCAGGAGTACCATTAAGCAGGGCACAATTTGGTGGCTTTGCCTCTTAAAGCTGGGTCACCCAGCGCTACAGGATGGCAGGACACATCTTTCTAGAGTATCATTCACTCAGTTAGATTTTTTTTTAAATAAAAGCTTTTATTTAGGAAATAGAGATATTAAGCTAACATAAATAGATGATAGCACATAAATAACTATGTGTGAAATTTAAAGCTAAAATCAAAGACATTCTGACTTATAGGAGTAACTTTACCCCAAGGAAAAAGGTTAAAAAACTTTGCTTCAGTGTGTCTATGTATTTTTAGAAATTAGAAAAATATCAACCATTTATTTAGTATTTGTTAAATGCTAAGAATGTGCTAACGATATGATCTCTAATTCCATAATAGCCTTGCTTATCCCCATTAGAGAGAGGCTGGAAGCAAAGGGATTATGGCTTGGGGAGAGTTTATCCTGGCCAACCCATGCCTGGGGAGCTCAAAGAGATAATAACAGATTCATTATGAGAATGATGCTCAATCAATCCACATTTGTTAAGCTCCATTATTTGCCCAGGGCCATTGTAGGTGTCAGAGATTCACTCAGTGATGCAAGTAGATACTGAGCACTTGTTTGCGTGCCAGTCATTGTTCTAGGCATTGCTGATACGGAGGGACACGGCAGATGAGAATCCCTATCCTTCTTGAGGGAAAACAAGCAATACACACAGATATAAATGAATAAGATCATTCCAAATAGAAAGAAAATAAAACAAGGCAAAACAACAGAGGAATGAGTAGGATGGCGCTACTTGAGCCAGGGCAGTCATAGAAGCCCTCTTGACAGCCGGGGATATTGAACTTATGCCGGAAGGATAAGAAGTGCCCACGCCCACCCCCGCCCACCCCTGCCCCAGCCCCACCAGTTGAAGATCAGAGCATTTGAAGCAGGGGAAATAGCAACAGCATGGGATGGGAGAGGAGGCCAATGTGATTGGAGTGGAGAAAGCAAGAGGGAGAGAGGCAGAAAATGGAGCTGGCTGGACCTGGCCTTCACCTGGTGGGCCACGGTGATGATTTCATTCTAGGGCCTAGGGAAGCCATTGGATTCTGAAGTAGGGAGTGACGTAGTGTGACTTGAGTTTTGAAAAGAGCACTTTTGGCACACATGCATATGAAAAGGTGTTCAACATCATTAGTCACTGAGGAAATGAAAATTAAAAACCATAATGAGATACTACTACACAGATATTCAAATGGTTAAACAAAACAAGGAAGAAAACCCAAGTGCTGGAGAGGAAGGATATCACAGCAATGGAAGGCTTATACCTACACTTACAATTATACGATTAGGGAGTGATTAGCTTCAAGTATTTATTACTAGTGGTTTTGACTCAAATTAAAATGTTTTCCTCGCTGCCCCGCACACACAACAAGCAATTCTAAGACACCATCTGGTAGTCCTGAAATTTATCTGAATCCTGATACTATCTACCTAGAGATTTAAATGAATGCACTCTGCTAAAGCGCGTTACTTATGCCACCTTGATTCAATTCCTATTAAAACTACTTATTGAGCATCTATTCTGGGCACGGTTAATTTAAGTGAGCCGGCTGTTGCACCGCTGGTCTGTGGGAAGGGGCGGGGCTTCACGGATTTTCCGCCTACGCCTGCGACGTCCCTTCCGGAAGCTGGGTTGAGGAGGCTGCGTGTGTTTCCGGTTGCGCGGGAGGCGGTGCTGCCTGGGGAGATGTAGACTTAGTTGCTTTCCTAGTCGTTTGGGAAGATGTTCTACCACGTGAGCAGGGCACTGGGTGGCGGAGGGCAGGGTCAACAGGAGAACAGAGGTGGGGCGCCTGGACGAGGGGCCGCTTCTTGGCCCGTCTTCCTGCTGTTCCTCGCCTGGTCTCCATTCCACTCTCTCTGCAGATTTCCCTGGAGCACGAGATCCTGCTGCACCCGCGCTACTTCGGCCCCAACCTGCTCAACACCGTGAAGCAGAAGCTCTTCACCGAGGTGGAGGGGACCTGCACCGGCAAGTGAGTGCCGCTCTCTGTGCCGCCCGATCAGTGATAAGCATACGGCACCCTGTGGTGCAACCCCTCTCCAACGCTTACTCCTTATGCAAGGTCCTAATACGAACTCTGAGGAACCCTCTCACACACTCCTAGGCGCCCCATGCAATCCGTTGCTTCCTGCTTTGGCTTCCCATGGAGCCCTCTGCAAAGCTGTATCACAAGACTTTGTTCCATCAGCTGAGATTGGTCATCATTTACTCCGCAAACATTTCTAAAGCTCCAGTTGTGTGTCCCCTCCTGTGTTGGTCTCTGGAAATGATGCAGTGAGAGATAGAATGAGGCCAGCCCTTGTGGGGCTCACAGTCTGATCACTGTGCGGGTGTCTGCTCCCCGTTTGTGATTCTGCTAGTTTTCTCTATCCCCCATGCCCAGGGACCTGCGGTGGCCCATCTCTGGGTTTTGCATGGAGCGGACTTCGCACGTGGTGACTTGCATGAGCCAGGCTGAGCAGAGGGCTGTGGAGTACTTGCCCTCCATCATTAGGATGACCTGGGGTGTTTCTTGAACATGCAGGTTCCTGAGCCTCAGCCTATCACTACATAATCTTGACTCTCTGGGAACATGCCTGGAAATGCATTTTAATACATTTCACATGATTCTGAGGGTCTCTTGGCTCAAGGACTGCAGCCTTCTTGGACATTTATTATGAAATTATGAGAGCGGTGTTTCGCATTACAGGCGATGATTAGTGTCCTGTCTTCTTTCTTGGCCATTAAGCTTTCTGGGAGCACGGGTACCATTTACTTCCTGTTTGTGCTGTCCCCCTCCCTCCAGGCTTACTAACTCTTGTCACAGACGGTCTAGAGGCTCTTTTCACAGTGTCTTTCTCGTTGTCGCCCTCCTTGCAGGTATGGCTTTGTAATTGCTGTCACCACCATCGACAATATTGGTGCTGGTGTGATCCAGCCAGGCCGAGGCTTTGTCCTTTATCCAGTTAAGTACAAGGCCATTGTTTTTCGGCCCTTTAAAGGGGAGGTCGTGGATGCTGTTGTCACTCAGGTCAACAAGGTGAGACCAAACAGGGGAGGCAGTGGGGTGGTCCCTCAGAAGATGTGGTATGGGTCCCAACTTCATTTGCTAATGGTGTGTCCTTGACCAAGCCACTTCCTTGTGCTTCAGAGTTCTCACTGTCAGATGGTATAGCCTCACCCTACCTCACTCGGGCATATGAATTAGTATTGATAGTCATAATGATAGTAGCCTCCACTGATTGAGTAATTACTGTGGAAAGCCCCAAAGTGACTCTGGGAGGTGGGTGCTTTTATCTTTTTTTTATAGAAGCTTAAGCTTAAAGAATTTAAGTCTAGTTGCCAAGGCCATGTGACCAAGTGTTTGAACCCTGGACAAATTCCAGGCCTCAGCTCTTCACTACTGTACTATATTTGCTTAACTTAAAACGAAGGCTTGAAAAAAAGAGAGATGAAAACAAATGCTAAGATTCTGATTGGTTTCAAAACATGGAGAATTAATTAGGAATTAGGTAAACATGGGAAACTTAGAAGGCTTCTGGAAACAAAATAAAAAGCAAGGATCACTCATTTTCCTTCTAGGTTGGACTTTTCACAGAGATTGGACCTATGTCCTGCTTCATCTCTCGACATGTAAGTCTGGGCACGCTCAGTGGGGCTAAGAAGGAGAGAGACACATTCATGACCACCTACCAGAGCATCCATTTAAAGTGCTGACCCGGTACCACTTCCTTTTCAGTCCATTCCATCAGAGATGGAGTTTGACCCTAACTCCAACCCTCCATGTTACAAGACGATGGATGAGGTGAGTGGGGTAGGAAGAAGTCGGTGAGGGAAAGGAGGGAATGAGCCACTCTGAGGGGTTGTACTGGCCAGGGGGCATCTGAGTGTACTGTTTCCTTCTCCAGGACATTGTGATTCAGCAGGATGATGAGATCCGCTTGAAGATTGTGGGGACCCGTGTGGATAAGAATGACATTGTGAGTCTCTTGCCTGCCTCCCTTGCAGTTCCAGGCAGAGCCCGGAGCTGTTGATTTCTTACCACCTAGACATCATGGGGTTTTTGTGCTCCTCTGCCATGAAGAGGGGATGGGTGGGCAGAAGGCCTGGGCCTGGGAAGGTTAGGGGATAGCTCTGTGCTTGCTTAGGCTTCATTTCCTTTTCACCTTCTCTCCTACAGTTTGCTATTGGGTCCTTGATGGATGATTACTTGGGTGAGTGCCTGACTGCATGCTAGGGTGGTTGCCTGCGGAAGGGGTGTGTGGGTACAGGGGTGGAGATGGGATTTAATGCTTGAGTCACAGGTGAAGGAGACTGTTGTGCCGTCTGCTTGGAAGATCCAGGACATGTGCCCTTTGGGATGGGAAGTGCACTGTGTCGGCTGCTCCAAGGTCTGGGTGTAACTCCTGTGCATTTCTTCTTCTCCTAGGGCTTGTGAGCTGAACACCATGGCCTCCTGCCTTGTTTGGTCCTTGTCTAGGATGTGTGGTGGTCGCACTTCCTGTGTTGTCCAGAGGCCCAGTCTGGCCGCTGTGGGGGAAGCAAGGAAGGTTCCTTGTCCCAGAAGGCATCCAGCTCTTGTAGTTTAGCTGCCAATCGCAGATTTTGACTGTACATTCTAACCATAAAAAGCCCTTGGTTCTCATGGAAGTGTTATGTTCTTTCTTTGGTAAGAACAGCTCTTTTTCAAAAGGCCAAGGTGCAGCTGCATGCTACACCCTCTTTGCTTGGCCTGATGCCTCAGACCCCCAGGGGATCTGACTAACCCTTATGCTGAGGTCTAAAGTCGACCTCATTGACGAGACGGCACTGATGTTGCATCTTTGGCTTCCAGCAGGCGATACTATCATTAGAGCCACTCCAAGTGCCAGTCTAGTTTCCTAGTATTTCCCCTTCCCTTACTCTTAAATATAACCAAGAGGACAGCTGGGGAGACATGAACAAGAAGATAGTAATAACACAGGCTGTGGGGTCCCAACACCACCCTTCCTAGGATGGGTACATAAACACCAGAAGCTTTTCTGTGGTGAGCAATCACTGTACTAAACTCCACTGAAGGTGTGAAATGGCTCATAATTTCCTTAGGGTAACACTAGAAAAATATGTGGAATGACTACAAAATTAAACACACTACCCTCCCTCACACTCTGTCTTCCCAGTACTGTTTGTCTACCTTGGCGTGCCTTTTCCCAGCCTGCCTGCTCACTGCCTGATCTAGCAGATCTCAGTCAGTTCTTTCCATTTGCAGCTTTCCTTGACTTGCTTGGGAAGCACAGCTGTGCAGTAGAAAGCTTGGTATTTGGACTGACACAGAACAACTGGCTTTGGTCTCAGTCAGGTGGCTTTAAGTTTTTTCATGGTAAAATGGGCATACCACCCTCTTTGGGTGGTTGCTGCTCCCGGCAGAGATCATACAGCAGGACCTTGAGTAATGTCGTTTCTTTCAACATTGTTCTGTTCAGCATCGTTTCATTATAACACTGATGAGATTCCTTAGCAACTTACTTTCATGTCAGTCTGTCCTAACATTGATTTTCTTATATGTCATTTTACTTAAAGTTGCAGAACCTACCACAGCATTCAGTGAGGACTTAGTATAACGCAAGTGGCTGGCACAGAGCCTGGTCCTTGATAGGCATTCAACTCGATCATAATTCCTATTAGACAATGACTATAAAGCAGTGATAGTCATCTGAGGTGATTTTTGTCCCCAGGGGATGTTTAGCGATGACATTTTTGGATGTAGCAAGTGGATAGGGGTGTTACTGCCTCTAGTTTACATCCAAAGGCTGTCTGTATCCATGACATTTTAGCAAGGAGCTCTACCGGCAGCCCAGATTCCACTGGGCTGATCTCAGATCCAGGACCTCAGTCCTTCCCCTCGTGCAGAGGTGCACAGATACCCCAGCGTTCAAGCACAATACTAAAACTGTCAAGTGCCATTCTGAACGTGATTGGAAGATACTCAGCAGGGTCATAGGGTTGTGTTACCATGGCAACTCCAATCGCATCCATCTGGCTTTCCCAGCCCTGGTCTCGGAGGATCTTTTCTAGAGGCAGCAGCATCTGCCCTGATAGGAAAAGTGAGGTTATTACATCCATGCCCACTCCCCTGCAGAAAGCTCCATTCTATAAAGAATAGCCCATGCAAACTATCCCATCTTGAGTGAACATAAAGGAATTAATTTACTCTCTGCCTCATGATGCACAAGTGAAAGTTCAACCACCAACCCCGCAGAGTGCTTTCACAGACATCTCAATCTGCAGTAACTGTAATGGGTATTATTGCCCAGCTTGTAGATGGTGGAGGGAAATGTGGTTGGGTAATTTGCTCAAAAGCGATGTTAGAATTTGAACCCGGCTTGGTCTGACTCCAAGTATCATCCTTTACTCAATAAGGCCACTTGTTTCTCAGTTGAGAATTGCCCAAATTTGGGGAAATGTGTGCGTGTAAAACCATCAAAGAAGCCTGCGAGGTAGGTGCGGGCTTATATTTAGCTTATTGGACAGATACAAGGTAGGGTATCCGGATGAGCAAAGCCCTGGAGTCTGGAGCTTGCACGTGGGTTTGGCCAAGTCTGAAGACCCTTCTGCCCCAGAGAATACCTACTAGGAGCCTCATCCATTCTTTGAAGGGTAAACGGCAGGTGATGTGGGAGAGGTAAATTGAGCTCCACTAAGCGAACAGGAAAACTAAGCCAAGCATCAAAGTCTAAAGTTTTGCTGCAGTTGCGTAAGTGCAAGTACTCGGAAACTATCAGTTTCCGACAAGAGGTATAGACAAGACTATGGGATCGGGGACGCCTTCCTTGAGAACATGGTTATTAAAACGTATACCAAGCCATACACACCTACTCCCCGAACTCCCAAGAGCTGTGGCTTTAAGAAGTACTATTCTTTAGGGTCACGTGACCTCCAGGCGCCTGGATCTTTCACAGCGGCCAATCGTGTGGCTGGGAGACCTCTGAGGGGCGGGAACTTCGCAAGGTGCTCGCAGATTGGGTGTGCTGGTGGAGTGCGGGGCCTGTAGGTTCAGAGAGGGAATTAGTGTGAACGGGGTGAGAGGGAAGAGCTGCTGCAGCTGTCGCTGCTGTCTGCGTAGCCACCTTCGCCTGCCGGAGCCTTCAGGTGAGCAGGCCCAAGGACTCCCCGTCCTGTTGCGGACTGTACACTCCGACCCGCCTTAGACACCCCCCCCCGCAGTCCTGGGTGCCCGCCCCCTTCGCTGACCACGTGACCCAAGTTCGGTAACCCTTGACCTCCTGCACCCCACCACCTCAGGATCTAGGATGAGTGAAGCTGGGTGGGAGGATGCGCAGCACCGCGGCTGGTAGAGGTCAGTTCCCACGCTTCCTTACCAATGTGGCTAGTGGCTGAGGATGCCGAGGGGAGGTTGAGCGGGAGATCTTGTTCCGAGGCCGGACTTTGTGGGTGTTAATGTGGGCACAAAATAAGGAAACTCCCTCCACGCCTTCGCGGCACAGGACTCGTGCTCCCATTTCACAGATGGGGAGGCAGAGACTTAACAGTTATCTATTGGCGGGTCTCCCAGCGCCAGATATTCGCGCTGGGAATTCAGGCCTTGTTTCCCACCCAGCCCGCCAGTCCTGACGGTTAAGAACAAGGGTTTGAGTACCTGTTCCTTACGTGATCGCCGGATCATCTTGGAAAAGTCATTTTAACATATTCCCTCACGGGGATATAATTTCCTTGGCTGTGAAACAGACACAATGCTTACATAATACCCATCTTTTTGTTAACGAGGGTAAAAGCCTCAGGCATGGCATGTGCTTAGAAAAATAGCTTTTCTTTATTCATTTTTTCAGCAGGTGTTTCTTGAGGGCGTATTATGTGCTCACACTGTGGCTGACTGCTAGGGATGCAAAGGTGAGCAAACAGGCCTGATCCTTGCTGGCTTGGAGCTTACAGTCTGGTGGGGAGGTGGGCATTAATCAAAAAGTTGCACTGCCCTGATTGGTCGGGCCTCATCCTGCAAACTGAAAGGTTGGCAGGTTCCATTCCCTGGTCAGGGCACAAGCCTGGGTTGGGGGTGTGAGAGGCAACTGATTGATGTTTCTCTGGCACATCAATGTTTCTCTTCCCCTCTCTTTCCCCCTTCCGCTCTCTCTAAAAGTAAAATCTTTTTTAAAAGTTACACAAATATATAATTACAAACTGATAACTGCTTTGAAGACAAAGTACTGGGACATTGTGGGGGTCTGAGGAGACTTCCCTGAGCAAGTGATGTTTGAACTGACATCTGCAGAAGCACATCAGCATTCACTAGACCAAGGGATCTGGGTGCAGGAGAGCATTTCAAGTGGAGGAAACAGAATGTATGGCCACCCAAAAATCAGGTGTTTGAGGAAATGAAAAGAGACCACGGGCAGGAACGCAGAACCTGAGATAGAGTGGGAAGAGGTACGGCAGAAGTAGGCTCACATGCAGGGCCTCGGAGCCATGGTTTGTCCTTTATTTATTCCCAGGGCCATGGGGACCATCGGGAGAAAAGCTGCAGGGAGGCCGGTAGGACACCCACGGGGTTTAGAAACCTGGAGGTCCTGGTGACCCTGTGAGTTCAGGCGGAGAGGAGCGGCGTGGGGCAGGGCCTGCGTGCCTCACGGTAGAGCTCAGCCTTGATGCCCATGGGGCTGATGCCTCACGTCGGCTCATGGGGACCTATCTTCTAACTGTGTTGCAGGGTGGTAGTTACAACCACAGTTTTGTTAGATTCTTATTCTGCTGTATCACAGAAGAGCAGGTGCCTACTTTTAGGCCTCACAGCCAAACTGGGGAAGACCAGACACATAGGTAAAAACCCAGCTATGAAAAGCCTGACTGTCCCAAATGGCAGATGGATCAGGCAGACCTCAAAGGAGAGACTGGGTTGGTCCTAGCAAAGAGGAGGGTGTGGGGGCCTTGGGGCCTTGGAGTGGAGGGGTCGGCAGATAAGCCTGAGCATGGGGTGGGGCTTAGGCAGGCTGGGAGACACCAGGTCTGACTCACTGGGAGGAGCAATCAGTTGGAACTGCTCTGGGGACTTGGGACCAAACACAGAGTGTCACACTGGGGAGTTTGGGCTGACCTTTTATAATCAGTGGGGAAGTAGTGAAGATTTCTGAGCAAGGGAATGCCAGGTAGAGTGGGTTTTTTCATCAAGATTTAATAGATAGTGGTTGTAGCAAGAATCAGAAGGCATGAGGTTTTTGTTCATAGTGAAGGGTGATAACGTCTTCCATTTGCGTGGCGTATTGGCCCCTGACTTCCTCATACATCATCTCATTCTGTGCTCAACCCTGTGAGTTCTAGAGGGAAGGGGTTATTACCTTGACTTACAGTTGAGGACACCAGTTGCTCGGACTGGTGAAGGTCTCAGCCAACTTTGCATAGGAAGTAGTGGGACAGGGCTGGGACCCAGTTCTGTGGATTCCAAGGCCGGACACTTTCTCAGGTGTCACTGTGGTCTGCCCTCTGGCCCAGTTCAGATCTGTTGCTCTGAGTCTCAGTTTCCTCACCTGGACACTCAGAGCCTTCATAGTGCCTTGGTTGTGGGTTTTGGAGCAGGAGCTGCAAGACTGGTTCCGAAGGCCTTGAGTCAGGATCCTGGGCTGAGGGGGATGAGTGGCTTTTCAGACCTTCCCTCCG